CCGTCGCCTTCACGGCAAGCGTGGAGTGCATTTCCGGTGGCACGACTCGCAGAATTGCTGCAAGCGCCATCCTATCCTCGGTGAAGCTCCCGCCACCCTCGACGGCATCCCACACACTTTGGGCCTCCATGTTCACCTTCATGATGAGCGCCCACTCGAAGTAGTTCATCGCCGTCAACGTCGGGTAGACGACGGTGTTGCTGGCCTGGTGGACGACACGCTGCTGCATCACCACCTCGTCGCGTCGGGCTCCACCCATGATGTAACGGAAAGCGTGACGGAGTGCGCGAACCTTCACCTACCATGGCTCTTATACCAAATGTTGGAAGTGCTTAGCAAGCAAGATACATACGTAGCATTGATAATTGCTTAGGAAGAAGAATTCATGCGTAGCCCTTTGTAACTAAAGCTTAGGAGAAAAAATATACACACGTAGTTTTTTTTTGTGCTCAAAGCATAATGCTTTGACACACATTTTTCTCCATTACATAGACAAAGTAACTCCCATGTACAAAATAGTGATTACAACCCACACCATGAAGCCCACTCTCCCACTAATTAATTAACCATGCATGCAACTTGACTAATTAATCAACACATGCATGTAACTAACTAATTAATCAACCCATGCAAATTAGACTAACACTAATGCAACTTCACAAACGCACTTCAGTGCCGCTACAACACATGCACGGTGTCACACGACACGCACTACTTGGCATGACTCATCCCGGCGTGCACTAACACTCTAGTCTAAAATGCATCAATGACTCAAAATAAACTAAATTAAACATGATGAAATTCTAAACAACAAGGTTAACTCCAACATGATCTACACCTTCGACTCCATCGAGCTCATGCTTGGCTGACGGATTTTCAGACTCAGATAAAAGAAAGGAAAAAGGGAAATGAGAGGAAGAAAAGAATGGAAGAAGACGCAGAGGGAGAAAGGTCAAAGGTGACGGAAGGAGAATGTCACAAGACGGCAGGAGGAGAGGAGAACACAAGGAAGAGCAAAAGAAAAAGAAAAAAAAGTAGATCACCACGTGAGCAACATGACTGGATAACCGGGGCCCCACATGCTGAATTCCAAATCTGATCATTTTTTTAAAGTAGGGGAACTTAATTGGGTATTTTTTAAGTTCGATTGCTTAATTGATTTTTTATATACTACAAGAGTCTATTTGACAGTTTTCTCAAATAAAATAAAAAATGAACCAGAATAAAAAAAACTTTGGCAAATTCGGTAGGTAAATGATAAAGAGTAACCTTGAGCACCTAAAATATTACACAGTAGTTGGAGAGGCGGTATTCGGTAACTAATGTTCACTCTGTCCTTTAAAACTTTGTCATTTTTCATTTTTGAGAAGTCCCAAAATACTTTGCCTAGGGGCGGATGCACCATATAACTAATGGGGGCACATGCCCCCAATAAACTCACAAATTTTAGTTTGAATTAAGTATGTTATACTAAAATACTAAGTTGTGCCCCCAACAGGAATAAAGGAATGCCCCCATTAACCTTAATGAACGTTGTTTAAATTAACATTTACAAGATCGGTTTAAAGCTCATAACTTTTTATTTATGTCAAGTCTAGGGATTTGCATATATGAAATCCATTTAGGTGATGTATTTTTAAATTTTTATTTACAATATTTTATAAGATTCTAATTTGTATTGATAAAAGAGACTTAAAATTGACAAATTCCTTGTTCTTTCTACTGATTAGGTGATTATTTAAATGTTTTTAAAATAGTCAATTATTTGGTTATTTTTTGAATGAGGTTAAATTTATTTATCTTTTTTCTTATAAGATGGTATACCTCAAATAAAAGTTTACGTGTAATTTTACGGCACACCTTGGATCTTCAAGGTCTGTAATTTACATATTTACTTTCACTTTAGTTAGTGATTTACAAAGTTCCTAATAGACTATGCTATTTTTATATTACATGAACTTTTTAAATCACTTTTGTTTCATTAACTTAATTAATTGAATTATAAAATCATAAACTATTTATAATTGACTTTTAAATTATTTAAATGAAATATACTACAAAATAATGGATTTAGTTTTAAAAATGCATAACATAATGTGAGAATGGTGTTGTATGTGGAGAAACTAAAAGTGATTATGTATCAAATAATATTGTCAATAAAAACTCTTTTTGGGTAATTTTCTTTCTATCTATATCAATAGTATTGGGTAGGGATGGACCCGGGCCGGTCCGGTTCCGGTTCTGGGCCGGGCCCGGGTGGTTTTTTTTTGTAGAAATATGGGCCCGGAACCGGCCCAGGGTGATACCGGGTCCGGTCCGGGTCGGGCCTATCCGGCCGGGTAGTGGGCCGGTTCGGGCCGGGCCCGGGCTATTTATTAATTTTTTGTTTAAATATTAAATTAAGATTAGTTGGACATGAAAAATTTAAAATATATTTATTTGAAATATGTAGTACAATTGGAAAATTGAGCAAAAATTAAAACATGAAATACACTTTTTAATAAATAAGAATCAATCGGAATTTCTGCCATCTTCGGTTATTTCTTCCATAAAGTGGCGGGTGAGTTCAATGCTAATTTCTTGAGTTCTACGTTTGACCTTCAACCAATCGTGGAAGCAAACAAGCATCTCAAGAGAGTTTGCGCTCAATCTCGTTCTATAATCCGTTAGGACGTTGCCGGCCGCACTAAACTCTTGTTCCACAACAACTGTTGATACCGGCATTGCTAACACCTGCTTAGCCATCTTTGATAAGATCGGGAACGTTCTCTCTTTTTCCTTCCACCACTGAAGAACGTCAAAGTCATCCCCTTCTTCATACTCAACAGGAAATGTTAGATACAAAGAAAGCTCGTTGATCGAACTTTGTTCATTAACCGGAGTTGATTTACTTTTTTTCATAAGATTGCCAAATGCAGGTTTCGAAATTGATTTTCCTTTAGATGAAGAAGATGTTCGTGGCGAGGGAGGGGGTGCGTTACCATATTGTGCATGAAACTCATTAAATAATTGATATAATAAATTACTAACCTCTTGAAATTGTTGTTTCGGGTCTATAGCCTTCTCGTCGTACATAGGCAATAGACCAACAAAAGAAGCATAATAGTAATCTAAACATTGCTCCAAAGAACTAGTTTACCAATTAACTAAAATTCGAACTATTTGTTTTACAATGTAACAACTTTATTTAACAAGTTTAACAATTAACTAGTTTTTATAGGAGAATAATAAATGTAACAATTAACTACTATGATAGAAGATTAATAAATGTAACAATTAACTACTATGATAGGAGATTAATAAATGTAACAATTAACTAGTTTAACAATTAAACGATTAATTTCGAATTAACTAGTTTACCAATTAACTAAAATTCGAACTATTTGTTTTACAATGTAACAACTTTATTTAACAAGTTTAACAATTAACTAGTTTTTATAGGAGAATAATAAATGTAACAATTAACTACTATGATAGGAGATTAATAAATGTAACAATTAACTAGTTTAACAATTAAACAATTAATTTCGAATTAACTAGTTTACCAATTAACTAAAATTCGAACTATTTGTTTTACAATGTAATAACTTTATTTAAAATTCCAATAAACTAACAACTAACATTTAACTACTTTTATAGCAATGAACTAATACTAAAATGATAAGTGAAACAATTAACTAGTTTTATATTAATAAATAATGTATGAGCGTGTAAACTAAATTAATGGGAGTGTGAGAGTGTATAAGCAATTGGATAAGTAGATAATAAGTGTATAAGTAGATATACTTAATATATATATATATTTATACATAGATAATAAGTAGATTAACTAGTAATATATAATATTATGTTTAGTATATATAATATAAGTATATTACTATAATATTAGTAATACACTTATATATAATACTTTAATATATATAAGTATACATTAAGTATATCTAAAATGTAAATGTAAGTAAATAAATTAGAGATAATTATATATGTAATATGTAATATGTAAATATAAGTAAATAAATATAAGTAACAATAATATAATAATTAGATATTAATATAAGTAGATAATAAATATAATATATGTAGTTATAAATTTGAGAAGATGAAGATGGAGAAGATTAGTAGAGAATAGAGATTAGAGAGTAGGAATATTTGGAGAAGATGTGTAGTGAATTGTATAGAAAAAATGGAGTATTTATAGTTTTTTTTGTACCCCCACCCACCCCCCTTAACCCACCCTGGGACCCCTTGGAAAGCTCCCAACAGCTATATAGCCGTTTGGGTTGAATTACAACGGCTCTAAGACCTGTTTGGATGGCCAAAAGTTTTTTTTTAAAAAAAAAAAATTAGCCGTTGGCCCGGACCGGACCCGAACCGACCGGGCCGGGCCGCCTATTTCCTGAACCGTGCCCGAACCGCTCCCCTCCCCCGGGCCGGGTCAAAGCCCGAAACTCCCATTACTTAACCGGGCCGGGCCGAGCCCGACCTGGTTTGGTTCATCCCTAGTATTGGGTTATTGCATGTTTCATTTTTTTTACTCTAGAGGGTCAGATGAAGGGAGGCTGGAGGAGCCCGGGGTAAACAAGGCTCAAATTCCTTCTTTCATGAAATTTTGAACTCGACACCTCCCGTATGGGAGACAGAATCGGGGACCAGTTGAGCTGGATCACTTTCTCTAATGCATGTTTCAAATTTAAAGTTTATTTTGATATTCATACTTCACATAACTAATGCCCCCAACAACAATTTTTTGGGATCCGTCACTGACTTTGTCACTTTCTATCTTAATCAATTATTTGTGGTTTCTGCTATTTATGTCTTTTCTGCATAAATCTTAACCACACAGTTTTTACTTTATTATTCTCAAATTTTATTTTAGTCAAACTTGAAAAAGTTTTAAGAGTTTATTTTAGTCAAACTTTAATAGTTGACCAACTCATTTGTGCCTATGGTATAGGTGAGGCCACATATTTGACCAACTGCCTTCAATTTCCTTCAGTTAGACGTGTAAACATGTGTTCCTCGGAATCGATCGGGCGCCGTATATGAGGTCTGGTTGAAACTTGAAAGCATACATTTTAGTTCAAACTCCAAACCACGCTTGTTTTCGAATACCGGATCACCGGAGTCCGGAGGTCTGGAAGAACATGGCGGCGGAATCAAACAGTATAGAAGTGAGTGGCATGCAATTCGGGTACGATCTCCAAACGCCCCTGTTCTTCGACTTCAGCCTTAAGGTTCCTCCAGGATCTCGGTGCCTGCTCGTCGGCGCTAATGGAACCGGTATTTCCCAATTTCGTAGACCGTCGGACTAATCAATTCCTCAATTGATGTCATTTTTTATTTTTGTTTCTTTTCAAGGGAAGACGACTTTGCTCAGAATTTTGGCGGGGAAGCATATGGTGGGGGGAAGAGATGTCGTCCGGGTTCTAAATTCTTCCGCTTTTCATGATACACGCCTTGTTTGTAGTGGCGACCTGGCATATCTTGGCGAATCTTGGAGTAAAAATGTTGGCTCGGCTGTAAGTGGATTCATTTGTTTAATTTTATGTCATGTTTGAGGATCTTATTCTGAAAACAATAAGAACGTTATGTTTGTAATTGAGGTTATCAGGGTGAAATCCCACTACAGGGAGACTTCTCAGCTGAGCATATGATATTTGGAGGTGAACTAACTCGTCTTTTATGTTTGCTGTATTTGTTCATCTTTAAAGGAATTTAGGATCCAATATTGGTACTAATAGTACATAATTGTAACTCGGTGTATAAACAACTAGTTAGAGTTTCTAGATCTCTTTGTAAGGCTTGTTGGGAAACCTGTTGTGGTACTTGATGAATAGCTCTTTCCTCTTCAAACAGAAGAGTTTCATTTTTACCATTTTTGAATTGTTCTAAATCATTATAAATTGAATTGATTCTGTGAGTTTAGGCAGTATTTAATGCAAATGATGAATTTTAATGTATTTATGAGTTACTACTTTCTGCATTACCGTTATAACCGAACTACTGACGATTTTATTTGTGAGTTAATATCATATGAAGTAGATATAGATGCAATTGATGACAGTATTATGCACTTCTGTACTAGCATTACAATTCCTTTGCACCTTGCTGTATTTAACTCACTTTTTGTTTGTTGGTGGTATGGTTTAGTTGAAGGAGTTGATCCTATTAGAAGAGAGAAGCTGATTGAACTGCTAGACATAGATCTGCAGTGGCGGATGCACAAGGTGTCTGATGGTCAGCGTCGTAGAGTCCAGATCTGTATGGGTATTCTTCATCCCTACAAGGTGATCCTCATTCCATGTCTGCTGTTATATTTTCCTGTTGCCTATGCCAAATATTGTGATTTTGTATCAATGTATTGATTTTGTTGATATCCAGTTTCAGGCTCATGCTTTTTGTGCAGGAGAGGCATAGTTCAAATAAAACCACAAAAATTTTATTTTTATCGACCATAAAATAGTGCCATTAATTCAAATAATTTATACCACACCTGTATCTGTAGGGTTATAAAATGTAATTTGAAAAGTACCATGGAGTTATTATATATTAATAAAATTATACTGGGTATTTTAGTACTTTCACCAGAAAAATTGAGGGGTACTTTCACCCTTATTTGTAGTAGGAGTTGATGTACAAGATTAATACGGAGTACTCCCTCCGTCCCGAAATAAATGTCCTGCTTTCCTTTTCGGTCCGTCCCAAAATAATTGTCTTGTTTCCTCTTTTGGCAATAATGGGTGGCTCATATCAATTCACCTTTTTCTACTCAAATTTCAACCACAACTTTTACCTTTTCAACCACTTTCTTAAAACTTGTGCAAAAGCAAACAAGACAATTAATTCGGGACGGAGGGAGTATTATTTTAGTGTTTGTTAGAGTGGTATACTCCCTCTGTTTATTTTAACTTGCTCTGCTAGGCTTTTTACTGATTATAAGTATGAATGGCAGAAGTAGTGAATACTGCAGATTAAGTCGAAAAGTAAGTAAAAGAAGTTTAAAAGGAAGGAAATCAAAATCAAGGACATTTATGTCATTTGAGACATTTGTAACTGTCAAGAAGGGAAATTGGAGCATATAAAAATAAAAGATTGATTACTTAATTTCTTAATATTCTAAAAATTATATAAGAAACAATGCCGATGCCACATGTTACCCTAGATGCTCCCTTATAGAACTTTTCTATATTTATAAGATGTTTTGAAAAACGCATTCATTTTAACAGTACATATTCATATAGTATTATTTGTTCCTTTGCGTTCTCTAGATCTTTTGAAGATACTGATTTGGTTTGGTTGAAGAGAAGGTTCAGATTCTATGAACGCGTTGATGCGCTACGTAACATTTTTTGTATATTTTTTTGCTCATTTTCTGATGCAGTATTTCTTTCTTTCTGTTGTCTTCTCAAGTCTCTGTTATATGATCAAGTACATAGTAATTCTACTACAATATTTAATGGAGTATTATCCTTTTCTTGTAAAGGTTCTTTTGCTTGATGAGGTTACTGTTGACCTAGATGTTGTTGCGAGGATGGATTTACTTGACTTTTTTAAGGAGGAATGTGAACAGGTATTAATTTATGTTTGGAAGTCTAGATCCTGGAAAATGCTTGGGAAGTAAAATAAAATGCTAAGGAACATAATTTCACATGTTTGTTTGACTCCAACGATGTAAACAAAATTGAAAATTATAAATGGTTTTTTAGTTTTTATGTCTAAATGTTTATATTTCATAATATGCTGTAGTAGAAATAAATAAGTAAAAATGAATTTGAAATAGTATTAAAAATTAATCTAGAGGTTGAGTTAATAATATTTTTTCCTTCACATTTACTTTCCTTCTAAATTTATTTTTATTTTTCTCGATATTTGCTTTCACTATGGATCATCCGGAAAGAATTTCTCCTTGCTTTAGTACAAGGGCAAGACTGTGTACATGCGACCCCCCTTACCCCACCGTAGGTGGGAGCCTTTGCGGCACTGGGGTAAATGGGTAATGATGATGATGATGATTTCCCTAGCATTTTTCAAGATTCAAATAAACCCTTCAGAGTTTGGGCAATTTTCAGCATTTAGTGATTTAGCTCTACAATAGATATTTTTTTCTGATCAGTGTGAATTTAAATATTCTTCTTTTACCAATGTCCTGTTGACTACAGAGGGGGGCAACAATAGTATATGCAACACACATATTTGATGGACTAGAAACATGGGCAACAGACTTAGTCTACATCCAAGATGGTGTCTTGAGGAGGTCTGAGAAGCTGTCAGAAGTCGCTGAATTGAAGACTTGTCCCAATTTGCTATCGGTGGTGGAGAATTGGCTCCGGTACGAGACCCCTATAGAGAAAAAGAAATCTGAGATCAACCACCAGGCTGCTGCACCTAAGAAATCGTCCCCTTTCGATGCTTCTCCCTTTCGCTCATCTAGACACATGGCTTATTATCGTTGATGGGTACCAGTTCAACTTCTGTAATGCAACATGAGCATATCTTCTTGTTTGGGGAAAACACAAGGAAATAATGTGAACGAAAGATATCATATTTCTTTGTAAATGTTTGGATCTCAACAAATGCTAGGGGAAGGAAGTAAATATATTAAGGTGCTGTTCAATACCAATTTTTTAAATTAGAAACAAAGTTCAGAAAATCAAAAGAAGTTGTTTTCAGTTTTTTTTTTAAGTTGTATTCAGTTTTAAATATACTAAGGTTTTATGAAATTCATTCCACATGGTACTCATTTTTAGGATTTTAGGATCACTGCTATAAATGCATGTATGCATTATTTGTTTTGCATAAACGCTGTAACGAGTTACTAGTAGTGATGTATAATACGGAGTATGAAATTTCTTTATGGAGGCAATTTTATCGTACATTCTTTCCACAAGAGGGTGATCATCTTTAAAATGTTTTCTCTGCAAAACTTTACCCAAGGATTTTTGGCTGCTGAAATCCACCCGGGTTTCATTTTGCTGGTAAAGGGAATCTCCATTTGGAAGGATATTGCAAGAGAGATTTTTTATTTATGCTGTATCGGATAGAATGGCTTGTTTGGTGACAATTATTTGACTGAAATTACTAAGAGCTCGTTTGGTTACTTTATTTTTTGACTTATCAGTTTTATCAGTCAACTTTTTAATGAAACACGTAACTTTTGATTTCGCGCGCTGAATTGTGTAATAATGAGAAAAAGTAAGGTTGAAATTACTTTTCTGACTATATTGGCTGAAGTTATTGTAAATGACCAATCTAGCTATTTTTTGTACAATTTTTTCTATATTTTATTAATAAAATGTATTTTAAATATAATTTATTCATAAATCAGCACAATCAGCCAATACAGCCACTTCAGTCAGAATTTCAGAAATTTCAACAGAATCAGTCGATTAAGCCAATTTCAATGTTACCAAACGGGCTCTAAATTTTCTAAAGAAAAAAGGTTTAGTTACATTAAATAAGTTAAAGTTTCTTAAAAAAAAGTAATTTAGAAATTATTTATTTTGTTTAATCTAAAACCGATCCCAATTACCTCCACCGCCCTAAGCCCTTGTGCCCACCTGCCCCCTCGACAAATTATATGGTACAACCGGGTGTACACATACACCCTGTATATTTGTAATTTCCTGCAACATTAAGCTTTTTGATTCTCTTATCCCTGGTTTATGTTCGATGCTTTTCTTTCTTCTGGCGTCATCCTCACGCCCCGTTCCTTTTCTTTCTTTTACAACCGCCATTCTCTTTGGTCGTTAGTGTTGGTTGTTATACATTTTGTGTTTTATATTCTTTATTTTATTTTATCTGTGTTTTATTTTATTCTCTTTAGTTTACTTTCTTTTCTTTTATATTTTCTTTCTTTTCTTGTTTCCTTCTTTCTTTTTCTTTATATATTAATTCCGAGCACATTAGAAATGAGTTTTACTTTAAACTCAAACAAGTAAAGCGTCTAAAAAGAACGAACATACACAAATTAGCTTTTGCATTTTTGAAAACTCATTTTGTAAGTTATGTATGTCCATTTAGTACCTTCGTTATGCTCATTTCAACATGTTATATCAAAAGTCTCATATTACATTAGATTCACATAGAATTTGATTATAGACACGAGACCACAAATCATGATACTCAATAGCAAGATTCTAATACTCAATAACGGAGGTTCGATACCCACTGAAAATGTCTTGTTGCTCAACGAACAAAATTTACCATTTTTATATCAACGCTCATCTTGTAAGTTATATGTGCTCATTTGTATGGGTCTGGTGCTCATTAAAAATTCATTAATGCTCATTTAACAGAAAACGTGAATTCATCAATGCACATTTTGTAAGTTAAGTATGCTCATCTGGTACTCATCCTATGCTCATTTTCTAAATGTCATATCAATATGTTTTTTTGAAAGTACTATTTTACATTAGATTCACATATAGAAATTCATATGAGTTGATTATAAATATAATTTAATAAGTTTTTATAAAAGAAAAAATAACAAAAAGAAAGTGAATTAGAAGTTATGAAGCAAAGATCATGATTCTGAATATTAGACTCCTAATACTCAACATAATAGGTCTGATGCTCATTAAAAGTTCATTAGTTCTCATTCACCAGAAACCGTGATTTTCATCTGAATAGCAGATGTTTGATGCTCAGTTAAAATGTTATGATGTTCATATCAATGTGCACTTTGTAAGTTATGTATGCTCATTTGGTACTGATGTTGTGCTCATTTTTGAATTGTTATATCAATGCATAATTCAAAAATATCAAATTACATTAGACTCACATATTGAAATTAATAGGAGTGTATTATAGATATAATTTAATAAGTTTTTATAAAAGAAAAAAATAAGAAAAAGAAAAAAGAATTAGAATATATGAAGCAGAGATCGTGATACTCATTGTTAGTCTCTTAAATACTCAATAAAATAGGTCTGATGCTCATTGGAAGTACAATATTGCACATTTAGCGGAAGTCGTGATTTTTCGCTTAAATTACAAAAATGCCACCGATTTTTTTGACCTGTATTAGTGGTTGAGCTGTTTTCTTATTTAGGCCGGGTGTACGTACACCCGGATGCACTATATACTCACTCCGCCCCCTCCTTCACCACTCTATCACTAACCCAAGCCATACCCCTAATTAGTGTTTAGTACGGAGTATTACATTTCAATTATATAATTAAATAATAATTATTTTCAAAAACATCTCATATCGTGCATTTCAAGAGTGATATACTACGCAACTGAATATAAATTACACGCACTACCGAGCACCACGAGTACACTAATATAAATTATACTACGTAACTAAATATAAATTACAATGAGAAAAATTGAATTAATTAAACAAGAAGTTGGTTATATTTTTGGAAAGAAGGAAAGCTGGACAACTTTTTGCATTTGGCTTGATGTAAAATTTGTTATCATTTTTCAATTTGTTCATAAATTATTTTCTAATTTCAACTACACATACGCATGTCATTAGGGGTGAGATGAAGTTTGACTAGGACCGTAAAACTTAGTGCAAATTACCCGTCTAAACCCGTTTTATGTGTTGAATTTCTTTTATGACATTACTGGTTTTCTTTTTCATCTTTATCTTTCCTCTTTTCACTAATAGTTTTAGTATTTCAAGAACGGTCATCTCCCTAACATCCAAATTAAAACCATGTCAACCCCCAAATCCAAATTCAAAACACATCGCAAACACAAATACGTAGATTTGCAAGAATATTTTCGGTCGTCTTTGTTGGAAAATGTGTTAAGAAATTACATTAAATGGCAACAACAACAATGAGTAAAGATACCATGAATCGATCCATAATATAAGAGCAAAAAAGAAAAGAAAGATAAGAAAAATAGAAAAGATAAGGTAAGATAAAATGGATAAGATCAAAATAACATAAGAACGTAAGATAAATAAAAGAGAAGATGGGTAAAGAACATAAGAAGAATAAAAGATGAAAATATAGAATGATAAATAAAGTAAACGATAAAAGAAAGAAAGAGAAAAGTAATAAAAGAGATCAATCGTTCACATGTATATGCATCCTCCACTTTGCTATGTCCAAATCCATATTCTCATCCAACCTAAGAAAGAAGCATATAAGTTTCACTTCGTCCAATCCAAGTCTGTTTGGGTCTCTCCTCCTTATGTTTTTCTTTCTTAAGTAGTTCCCATCTTTTGCAATGGAGTCAAAGACTCACTATTTTTTGGCTTGAGAATATGATGAAATAAAGCCAAATAGCTCACTAAACTGTTTGCGCTTCATTGTTATGAAGCATCACTCAATCCATGTGATTTTGGACACAACTATCACTCTGAATCATAAGAAAACAGTCTCTATGTGCTTTAGTACATAGGTATGACATCGTACATCCGAACCCCCCTTACACAACGTTGGTGGGGGCCTTTGCGGCACTGGGGTAATCAGTGACGGATCCAGAGATTTGTGAGATTCGGGCACACTAGACACTAAACTTAGTATATAATAATAACTCCAGGACCGAAGTGGGGGCACTGGATTTTACCGTAAGTGCTACTAGTGAATTTCTAAGCCCGAAGCGGGGGCACGTGCCCCACCTAGCCCCCCTTAGGTCCTCCAGTGGAGGTAATGATGATGGGAAATAAAATACTTTACATGTAGCAAACAACCCCATAAATCCTCTTTTATTTAAAGGCACAATCCTTAGAATTCAAGCTTATAAATAGGATGCACTGCGACTAACTTTATATTTTTGGAAGTAACGTCATAGAGTATGAGTCATAGAAAGTATTTCTTTTAGCTAGAGAACTGAATCATGGTAGGAGGCAAAGTCAGAAGATGAAATATAATAAATCATCACATCTATTACTAGTGACATCTTTATGTAGTATAAAGGATAAATAAACCGTCTTCATATTAGATGGGCCTCTTGGTTCCACTTTTGAGTGACTAAAGCTTACAAGTGGTATCAATGTGTGCACTAAATCACTCCCCCTAGCACTGTATCTTACTCTCTTCGATGATTTAGGGATAAAAGACTGCATTAGTAGACTATTAATGACATCTTCGACGTTTGATGCTTAGTTTTTAATAAAAGGTTGGACCAATAGACTTAAGTGCATTAACATTTTAGGACCCAAAAAACCCTGTTCTATTTAAACGATATACCTTTTTATAATCCAATTCCAAGCATGAATGATGGACTTTTCAAACTTTAGTAGTCTATTGGTATTTTAAAAGACTGATTATTGCCTTTTGGCAGTTGAGTTGCAAAAGTGGAAAAATAACACAAGATGTTTGGGGATTGTATTTGCAAAACTTTTCTAATTTCAAAATACATGCATCAACATCATCAGTACCCAGTGCCACAAAGGCTCCCACCTACTGTGGGGTAAGGAGGATCGGATATACGCAGCCTTACCACTGTACTAAAGCACGGAGAGAGTGTTTTCAGATGATCCATTGTGAAAATCGCATCGAAAATTGCATGGATTGACTGCTGCTTCATAACAAAGAAGCGCAGACAGTTTAGTGAGCCATTTTGTTTCATTCCATCATATTCCCAAACCAAAAAATAGCGAGTCTTTGACTCCATTGCAAATGATGGAGTGAATTTCAAAACACATGCCTCGTTTAAAATTTGGATCAAGTTTCTTAATTGTTTAACACTTATTTGTGCTTCTCCTTAGATTTAAGCACTATAAGGTTTAGAGCTGTAACCGAGGTACTTAAAAGTATTTTTAATTTTTCCACAACATTATACTTAATAAATACACTATGGTGATTCTCTCAGTTGGCTACCATTTGATGATGGATCTTTTGGTCTTGCTTCTGCATTTTAAGGACATCAGGTCTAACCAATTCTCAACCTTCTCATCCACTCATAGTTGCCACATTATGGAACACCCTTCTATATATAAAAAAAGTGGAAACCGTTGTACCTCCTCCTGTTTGCTCAAAACCTCTGTAGATTTAGTGTCCCATTTCCTTTAATGTGTCCTTTTTTATCATTGCTTATTGCGCTGCCTCATAGCATTTGAGCTCTGATCATATTTTAGGGGCATCATGCTCCTACCCAAACCTCCATTGCCTCACATTTCTATCAAACCGAACTTAACATATTTGCTTTATTTCATTCATTATCCAATCCTTCTTTAACCAAACTACACAACATTGTTCTCTCCCTACAATAGGCCATTGCTGTAGGATATACCACCTTCCAAGATGACACAAATTCCTTTCCAACATCACTCCTTACTAAGCCTAAAAAATCTTTCCAGGGAGAAACTCACCACACTGTCCAAAGCATCCAACATCTTCCAAAATCAGCCTCGGTCTATATCATATTGTCCGTTAAACTCTCATTTTGTTGCTGCCCCTCTTAACTCATCTCTTTCTAGTTTCTCTACCAAAGTTTTTACGTACATTTCTTCCCTTCCTCGATGATTGAGAATAATTTAAGTTCTGATGATAGTAGGTAGTGGTGAAAATATTAAGCAAAAGTGATTATTGTGAAACTAAGCATCCAAATGAATCATATTCAGACACTTAATATCTTAACCTGTATGTGATCATTTCTTCCGGAAAGAATAACACATTCGGTTCTGGTTTTCTCTATAGCACATAGGATTTGGATAAAAAAGTTCTAAATATACCTCATTTATGCATTGCAAGATTTTATGACATGTTATTGCATATACGTAAACATACACATAGAAAAGAAGAATATACATTGATGCATAGAATAAACAAGAACAAACCTTTATTCCAAAACAGAAAAGAGAATATATATCGATGCAAAATGTACTTAAAGTTAGTAATCTATTATTTTACTTTTCAGGTTATCTCATTGCTCAATCGCCGTGAGACAAGGTGGCAATGCTCATAAGACACATCAGAAGACCCAGCTTCTTAGATCATACAATTTATGAATTTACAAAATGGGACTGTATATCATGTTAACAACATGTTGCATGAATGGGGCTTCAAACACTGTTTTTTTTGTTACAAGTTTCTTAATCACTTTGGCACTAGATGTGATGACGTCCGTAATTTGGTAACAACGAACTCTCTATTCTTTTCTTAATTAGCATAGAACATAAATGTGCTTTTCCCACAATTTTTACCGTTAATTATGCACTAGGGTTCATATTTTGGTTTCAGAATGTACTTTTCTCAAGTGATGGTGATTCTGTAGTGCATGACAGTGATCAGTTCCTTCTAGAGATCGAGGAGAGCGACTCATCTTACAATGAGATGTGTTTCTATCCATTTTCCAAAAAAAGTTCTCCGACTGCAAAACTTGATGAGCGCAGGTATTTACAATTTACATTAGTTCTTGTTTAGTCCTCAGTGCGGTATTCGCATGTGTTCTCCATCTCAACGTCAAACTCTTCTACAAAGTTGAGTCTAATCCGAGGGGATGTGTCTTCCTCGTCAAACTGGTAGTACTCCTCGTCTAAGGACGTTGTTAAGTCAATAGGGTTGGGAACGCTACGGCCATTAGGACATGGCATGACTAATAAATCTCAAGGGAGGTATTTTCGGATCTAAGTGAATTTTCCTACAAACACTAGATCTAACCCCCAAGAAAGCAAAGTCTAAAAGAAAAACGAAGAAAAAGTGAAGAACCTGACCTTGAAGACTTTAAGAACTTGAAGAACGCTTGGGGAACTAGGGAGACACTTTATCTCTCTAGAAAGTTGGGCAGCACTTCGTTACTTAGCAAAGACAAATGAGGGAATGCTTCGGAATTGGGGGAGTACTTATAGCCATTCCTCGGCATGAAGCAGTGGGGGACTAGGGGACTATATCGGCCTCCGAATTCTTGGAAAAACTCCAAAAGTAACCAAAACTCAAGAAATCAAAGATCACACCCGATCGTCCACAAGAATAAGGGCAATGCATCCAATCGGCTTCAAAAGCAATGACAACCATCGGCCACCAAACAAACACCAAACGGCATCGCCCAAACAGTTCAACACGGAAAAAGAGCAAGCAACGAAATGTCAACCACAACAGGTTCCATGTCGGCCAAAGACACCAAAGCAACAATGGTTTAGTCCCTTTCACTTCGCCTACATCTCAGCTCAGATAGTGGGGGGCTCGTGATAGTAGGGGTGGGCACGGGACGGAACGGGACGGGAATTAGACTATCCCGGTCCCGACTCCGGTTTAGGATAACGGGACAGAACGGGACATGACAAGATGTTGTCTCGCTGTTGTCCCTTTTAAACCGGTACCGGAACAGAACGGGACGGTTCGAGACATCCCAAAAAAAATTGCAGCGAAAAAGATACAGCTCCAAAAAGAAACTTCATTACAAAAACTACAACACTAAAAATGCGGCACATACAAAAATTTACGATAAATGCAACACAAAAAATAGTAGATTAATAGGATTGTTGCACGAAACAAACCGTAACAACAACAATTGACTCCAACACACACAATACTACTAAGAAACTACAAAAATAAATAAAAAGACAAACAATATTATTAGAAGTGAAACATGTGAAGCATAAGTGAGTTTCTTTTTAGTATGTAGAAGATAGTTCATACTTGATATAGTTTAGACTCCTTTAGATGTTTTACATATTAGATAACTAATACCTAATCAATATTCATTAGTATTTGAATTGATGGTAGACCTACTAACCCACAACTATATACTCCGTACAATTTTAAATTCGGGACAACGGGACGGAACGGGACATATTTTATTTGTCCTGGCCCCGTTTTGTTTTGAAACGGTTCGGGACCGGAACGGGACAAAAATAGTTTGTCCCGAATTTAACGGGACAATTTCGGAACGGAACCGGAACGTTCCGGAACGGACCAACGGGACCGGGTCTTTTGCCCACCCCTACCTGATAGAGTATATGGGCTCATGTCCTATGGCCCACATACTTAGAGGATTAAACAGAGACAGCTGGCACATATGTAACCTTCCGTCAGCCAAATGGCCCTCTGTGGGCCAAACTCAGATGAATATCAGAACATGGCACAGAAGTTCAGGAGCAAAAGATTGGTCCTCCGTTGGTCAGGCCCTCCATTGGCCTGGTCCTCCGTCGGCCAAAAAGACTCCAGTAGATTAGACTTTATACTTAGTCTCATAAATCATGTACTCAATCCATTAGAACCCAAATCCACATTTCTCCTTATAAATAGCTCCCTAAGGGTTCTTATAGAGGGTTGAGAAATATTAATTGTTCACTTTCTCTCTCTAGCTCTCACTTTTCTCTAAGATTAATACTCAATCATTGGACTCTACATCTCATTTTTTAAATTGTTTTTAATTGCATCTTAATCCCGTATGAGAAGACAAAAATGTCCCTTGATCAGAAATATGTTGTAGGCCAACAGAATTGTTAATGAAAGAGCATTTTTGACTTTCAAATAAAAGAATTTTAAAAATGGGATGCAAAGTCAATTTGAACAATAAAATAGAGTGTAAACTCAAATTACCCTACAAAATCTAGATTTTAGAGTTCTAGTATAGTCGACCAGAGTCCAAAATCTAAAGATCCCTGCTCTAAATTCTAATTCATCATTAGATACTTCGGACTTTTTATGGTCCGGGTTAGGCTTGAATTTCCAGAAACCGGATTAGGGATTGAGTTTTCCGGCTCGGATTGGGTATAATACCCGGACCTCGATAAAGGACCTCAAATATCAGATCAAGTTGGTTCGGTTTTCGGGTCTGTTTTCCCCACATTTTCACCATAATTGTATCCTTTTTGGCGCCCCAGTTTACAGTTATAATAATTCGGCAATTGGGTTGTTCTTCCAGTCGTCTTCCCTGACGTCAAAATTCAGACGGTAAGTAGATCCACATCTTGTTCTCTTCTTATTTTGCATTGGTTTAAGGTTTAGATGTTTTATCCACGATAAATGTGCCTTCATTGCTTGTTTTATCGAGGTCCTTCGGTTTAGAATTCCTGATTTCTCTGGTGTTGTTTCTATTCCTGGAAACCGGATTTTCATGAATTTCGAAATCATCATACATTATCTGGAGTTCATGGTTTATTTTTTTCATTAAATATCAATATGAATTAGTAAGGTTGTGTTACAACTTGAATTTGAATAAATACGCGGATATCTATATATTTTGTTGGTATTGATTTTTTTTTCTATTTCTTGTTAAAAGGCTATGGGCATTTAAGGATGAGCAGAAAAAGTTGATAATGAATATCCTTGTTAGGGAAATCAATAGCTATGCCCTCATAAGTTGAGGGGAAAGTAAATGGACACAGCAAGGAGCTGGTTCCTGAAGTTTCAATCACGGGATAGTTTAAGAGCATCCATCAAGAAGAAAGATAGAATGGAGGGTGGTAAAGAAGAATCTAAGCATTTATCTGCTGAAGAAGCTTCCAACATTACAAAACAGAAAGTTGCTGCGGCAAAGCAATACATAGAGAATCATTACAAAGAGCAGATGAGAATTCTTAAGGAGAGGAAGGAGCGGTATGACATTCACATCAGCTTTCTTTACAGATGCCTGTCTTGACTTGCAAATTTGCAATTTGATGTTTTTTAGTTTCAATGAGATAATTTTGTGTTTAAAGCTAGTCTGTTGTGAACTTATACTTTCAGCTTCTTCTTTTTCCGTTTTTAAAAATTCCATATTTTTGAAAATTTTACCATGTTTGAAACATCTATTTTTTAGAACTTTTTAGTTTTTATTTTTTTCAAACAACTGCTTCTTTCCTTTCAACTGTTCATACTATCTACCCTGTAAAAGTGAATTCTTGACTGCAGGCGAACATAAATTATTATTTCCAAACTACTTTTAAATTAGTTTTACCCAAAAACTTGTTCTGATTATAGGCGATAATAGAAATAATCTAATTTTTAACTATCTCAAACAAGCTCTAGTTCACCTAAAGCTTATGTAAAATGTTTTTTGGCATGCAGTCGAAGTCTACTGGAAAAAAAACTTGCTGATGCTGATGTGTCAGAAGAAGACCAAAATAATCTTTTGAAGTTTTTGGAGAAGAAAGAAACTGAATACATGCGACTCCAGAGGCACAAAATGGGCGCTGATGATTTTGAGTTACTGACAATGATCGGAAAGGGTGCCTTTGGGGAGGTAAAAATGATTTATTTCATTTTGCTTGTAGTATGGTAGTCCATTTTTTTTCCTAAAAAAGAAAGAAATAGTCAACTCCATATGTTTATGTATTTGATTGCAATGCTTTCATTAGAGGATTTATTAGAAATTGACTTCTTTATTGTACAGGTGAGGGTTTGCAGAGAAAAAGCAACCGGGCACGTGTATGCCATGAAAAAGCTGAAGAAATCAGAAATGCTCCGCAGAGGGCAGGTTTGTAATTATTAGCTCAGAATGGTGTTGGCATGGCTTGCTATTCACTATGGTGTTTAACTTCGGAGTATATCAGGTGGAGCACGTTAAAGCTGAAAGGAATTTACTTGCGGAGGTTGACAGTAATTGCATTGTCAAATTGTATTGTTCATTTCAAGATGAAGAATATCTATACCTTGTCATGGAATATCTACCGGGTGGAGATATGATGACTTTACTAATGAGGAAGGATACTTTAACGGAAGATGAGGCTAGGTTTTATGTTGCAGAAACTGTCCTGGCTATTGAATCAATCCATAAACATAACTATATACACCGGTCATTACATGCTCTGATATCACTTGTCAATTTATTATTCTCAAGTGTATAATATCCGGTGACATGGAAAGTTTATTTTATGCAGAGATATAAAGCCCGACAACCTGCTACTTGATAGATATGGTCATTTAAGACTCTCAGACTTTGGACTATGTAAACCTTTAGACTGCAGTACTATACAAGAGGGAGATTTCTCAGTTGGAGAGAATCTTGGTACGAGTTCAAAGAATTATGACCAAACTGCTGCTCCCAAACGCACTCAGCAAGAGCAACTACAACATTGGCAAAAAAACAGGAGGATGCTTGTAAGCTTTATGTGCTTACTTCTCTTCTTTTACATATTCTTATTACTATTTACAATTAACTCCCTCTTGTGCTTTTGCTCCACTTTAAACTTTTTATGTTAAATGTTACGTAGTATTTTTTTTGCTTTGTCCTCTGGAACCATCTTAGTTACTGTGAAGGCACTGTGTCTTGGCTTTACAGGCTTATTCCACTGTCGGTACACCAGATTATATTGCTCCTGAGGTTTTGCTGAAGAAAGGTTATGGCATGGAATGTGACTGGTTAGTTTGTTGAATTTTATGAGGACTTTTGTGCTTCTTTTTATAACTAGGGTCGCCTACATTGCAACAAATACAACCATGTTAGTGTTTATTTATTTCTTCTTCACTAGTACCAGGGCTGTCTAATTAATTTGAAGGTCCCGGTTCCAAATGCAAAATTGAGGCCCCACATAAAAACAATTCCCAATCTAAATGCTTATACTGAAATCAATTGAATACTGATTAAAAAATGCAACTAACAAATTACTAAAAGTTACTTAATACGTGAAGTCTTGAACTAAAGCAATGCAACTCATTACTCAAGCGATTGGAGTAAAAGAGGACTAAAAGGACCACCGAATAAAAAATGGTGGATTTGCATAATTGCATTATTCTTTCTTACTCAATGTATTTTACCTATCCATATTAATATATAATACTCCCTCCGTATCATATTAGTTGCAACATTGAAATTGACACACTATTCATGTACACTACTTTGACTACATTTTATTTATTAATGTGTGTGAATTATATTTTTTGAAAAATATTGTTGAATTCGTCTCATTACAAAGTTTCATAATTTGATTTCTAATTTTTTTTTTCTAATAGGGAATTAAATATAATGATGGTCAAAGTTGTGCATTGGTAAGCGTAAAAAAGGAAATGTTGCAACTACAAAAGAACGGAGGATAGTACTAGGGAGTAATATATAATACTAATAAATTTTTAAATTAGGGTCCCTATAATTGGTGGGCCTTGTTCTGTAGAACTGGTTTAACTTGTTCAAAACCGGCCCTCACCAGTACTTTGATAATGTTTTATTAGATCCTTTCACATCTTGTATGTGCCAGAAAGTATAATGTTAATTCGTGTTTGCAGGTGGTCACTTGGTGCTATAATGTATGAAATGCTTGTTGGCTATCCACCTTTTTACTCTGATGAACCCATGTCAACATGTAGGAAGGTGTGCTTATGACTTGGACTTTTTTTTAGTAGTTTTAGCATTTTGTTTTTGGTGAAGTTCTGATTCTATGAACTCATTACGAATTGTATTACCATTCATCTTGGTTATTCTTCATTTTTTTTTCCTGAATAGACTGAATATCCTTTGAGTTATTAAATTATGTATGTATGTTAACATTTTTGCATTTCAACAAACAGATAGTGAACTGGAAATCACATCTAAAGTTTCCTGAAGAAGCAAAGCTATCTCCTGAAGCAAAAGATTTTATCAGCAAACTACTCTGTAATGTCAACCATAGGCTTGGATCAAAGGGTACTAACGAAATAAAGGTATCGTCTGGTGTCTCCTATGTTACATTAAATTGAATCTGTAAAGGGGTTAATCAGTTAATGTAATCAAGTAAATTAGCTGGTTGTGTTTTGTTCTAGGCCCATCCCTGGTTTAAAGGAATTGACTGGGACAGAATATATCAGATGGAAGCTGCTTTCATACCTGAAGTGAATGATGAGTTGGACACCCAAAACTTCGAAAAGTTTGATGATGTAATTATTTTCTTCTCATGTATCTTATGCCAATGGCGCAATGAGTACAATTGGGTTATTCCTTGTTTTCCTTTTTCTAGTTTTTCTCATAAGATTTTATTCTGTTTTCTTCATTGCAGTCGGAATCACAAACTATTACTTCATCAAAATCAGGTCCATGGAGGAAGGTCTTCTCTCTGATCCATCTATATGGGATTATACTTTCAAGGCTAAATGGTCAAATAGGCCTAGGTATGCATCTGGAGTGCTCAATTTACCCCTTGAACTAAAAAAAAGCTCCAATTCATACTCTGGACTTGATAAAGAGATTCAAATTTCACATTTTGTAGGTGAGGTTTCGGTCACGTCACGTAACCTGATAAGGTGCATTCTTTGCATCTGACATGACAACAACAAATAAGCCCTTGAACCCGACCAATTTATTCAGTTCACCACTCTACCATTAAAACATGTTAAAATTGTGAAAAATTAAAAATAAATATTTATAAAAAATACAGGCATTTATAAAATAATATAAATAGAAAAGATTTATATTTTGCAGTAAATACAAAATATAATTATTAAATACAGGTATACAATAGATTCAAAATATCTATTTTATGTTAATTTTTCTATTTTTTATATTTTAATTTGTTCACATTTTTGACACTTTTTAACGGTTGAGGGGTGAACTGAACAACTTGGTCGTGTTAGGGGCTTAATTGATCCCTTAAGTTGCTACGTTACATGCATAATTGTCACCTGTTGGGTGACGTGGCGGTGACCAGAATATTAGTTTAAAAAGTGAAATTTGAATCTCTTTTTTGAGTTTAGGAAGTAAGTTGAAGTTTTTTTTAGGTTAGGGGACAAATAGAGCATTCTGGATGGGGCTTATTTGACCCTTAAGCCTATTTACAAATACTCTTTTTAAAACTAATTTTGGATATTTACCGAGTTTGTTGTCAGTTCTGTATTATGCTGTACTGACCATATTACATGTACATGTTTTGAGTCCTTAGTGTATTTCATGTGTTTCATCGTCCTGATCCCCGTTAATATCTTACATGATCTCATCCATACCCCTCACCGTGCAGATGCTGTCATCTAAAGATGTTAACTTTGTCGGGTACACCTACAAGAACTTTGAGATAGTAAATGATTATGAAGTTCCTGGAATGGGTACCTCCTCTCCCTTTTTATTTATGCGTATATACACTAAGTTGCTTGTCAACATTAGCCATGTGCTAAGAAACTATACTGCATAAATATCTAAGTTAGCAACAGTTTTCTTTGGTCTTTGGGTTCTTAAGTTTCTGTAACAGGTTGCGAACACAATTAAGAATTTAAATTACAACTGAAGGAAATTTAATACCCTGAGTATCTGATGGAATTAATGTGTAGCAGAAAAATAAAATCAACGGGATGAACCGTTGCCCAGATAATCAACCATAAAAATACCGTTGCCCAAAGCCAAAAGGCTAAACTCTAACTTTATTCCAAGATAATCAGAATGAACCCTAGCAAGGGGTATAAATAGCTTCTACAAGAAACCCTAATCAAGCCCAAATTACTTAAACCCTAATTAAGCCCAATTTAACTTAACTAACCACTCTACTAATAATAGGCCCAACTAAAACATAATGATAAATTTTATAAATAAATAAAACTATAATCCCTAGCCCAGAACCGGCCCACGGAAGTGAGCCCAATCCCGTTCCCGCCCCAGATTCTTCTTGCTCTTTATCAATCCATCCCCCTTCAAATAACCTTGTCCTCAAGGTTGTAATTTCGCAGATCGAGGACTGAAATTTCCAACCATGGAATAGACTGGAAAATATCCTTCATCGCCTTCCAGAACCTTTTCCCGACCAGTTATTTCACAGTACTCATGTTGCTGGAGGTCCAACTCCTCATCCTCCTCAGCTATCATTACCCGCAACTGCTTAAAGGGGTAGTCATGCCCTGGTGTAAATGGTTTCTTACACCTAAAGCATAATCCTTTCACCCGCAATTCTGCAAACTCTTTCGGCGGAAGTCGAGTGAACTGTGAGCGTGTCGTGGGCTGCCCGGACAGCCCTGACTTTGTCCCCGGAGGCTGCCCAATGTCTTTAGGAAAGCTGCCATTCGATCCTCTTAAGCCACCACCACCTATGGTCGTGCTTTTACTGCCAGTTGGGCGCAAAAAACTGCTCGAATGCAAGTTTGTGTCGAAGGGTTGACTTTCCCAGTCTCCATCTTGAAAGGACAAGTTGTGCTCAATATCTCTGGCCAACTCCATTGCAATCTCCAGGCTGTTTGGCCGCAGCAATCGTAAGGATCCCCGAATCGGTCCCTTCAGCCCGTTCATGAAATACCCCAAATAGTGATCATCGGACAGTCGAGGAACTTGACTGGCCAACTGCACAAAAAAGTTATTGTATTCTTCTATGGTTCCCAACTGTTTGGCCCCGGACAGCCGTTCAAATCGGTTGCCCTTGAACCGTGAATCAAAACGGGCCACCAGTGCATCTGTGAATTCCTCCCAAGTCAGGCCCGGTTTCCGTGCCCTCAACCAGGTTAACCAGTACAGGTCAGCCCCTTCCATAGCTACAGTAGCTGCTGCCACTTTGCTTCCAGGTAGGGTTTGATGAAGTTCAAACTGCTGCTCAGCTCTGGCCACCCATCCGATGGGATCTGCGCCATCAAACGCAGGCAACAAGGTCGGAGTTGTGATGCGCGGCAAACCTTCGCCGCTGGTTGGAGTTGTGGCGCGCGGCAAACCTTCGCCGCTGGTTGGAGTTGTGGTGCGCGGCAACCCTTCGCCGCTGGGCGCGGTCGCTGCTGTGCTTCCGACGGCCGCCGTGGATGTTTCCGGCGACACTGGCGGCACAAGGGCATGCGTCAGCGCTGCCAGGGAGGCGACGATCTCCGCCAGCTTTGCACCGTGGTCTTCGAGCGTCTGGTTCATGCGCTTCTGCTCGAGTGCCATCCGGGTTTGCTCAGCCCCCAGTCGGGCCACTTCCTCTCCCATTCGGTTCTGCTCGTTTTCCATCTCTGTCAAGCGTTCATTCTGAGTTCTGGTCATCTTGGCGGGACGGGATCCGGCAGGTCGGACCAATTAATGTGTAGCAGAAAAATAAAATCAACGGGATGAACCGTTGCCCAGATAATCAACGATAAAAATACCGTTGCCCAAAGCCAAAAGGCTAAACTCTAACTTTATTCCAAGATAATCAGAATGAACCCTAGCAAGGGGTATAAATAGCTTCTACAAGAAACCCTAATCAAGCCCAAATTACTTAAACCCTAATTAAGACCAATTTAACTTAACTAACCACTCTACTAATAATAGGCCCAACTAAAACATAATGATAAATTTTATAAATAAATAAAACTATAATCCCTAGCCCAGAACCGGCCCACGGAAGTGAGCCCAATCCCGTTCCCGCCCCAGATTCTTCTTGCTCTCTATCATACTCAGATAATCTTAGGGAAAGAAATGTGGAGGACAATATAGGGGAACTTCTGAAGGAAACAAATGTTGGGGGAAATAAAATAATGACTCGAGCTCAATAAGTTTTTTAAAAAATAATTCGTATTTGTTTAAGTTCAATATATTTATTTATCTATCTGTATTACATACAGAGTTAAGGACTAAGAAATCTAAATATATGTAAAAACGCTATTCATATTTCATTGTTCTTTGCATTTTATGAGGTAAAACCAAACAAAAGAAATGACTCTCCTTGACACTTTTCTTCTTAGGCATTTTACAGAATCCAAACATACCCTATTGTAGTAAGATGACCAAAGAAACTCTTATGTGTGTTTGGCAGCTGAATTGAAGAAGAAAAACACCAAGCCAAGGAGGCCTACCATCAAGTCACTCTTTGGTATGCCTATGTATCTATCCTGCTATATTTTTCACAACTCCTAAACATGCTTATAAAGTTAATTACGAGTATTACATAGTACTCCTAAATATAGCAGGAGTTTTATGACTAATTGTTAGAATGAATCATATCTACAGAGGACGAGTCCGAAACATCAGAAACATCTAGTCAGCAGTCACAGGGTAGTGTTATGGATCTCTTACCACCTCAGCTTGACGCGTCTGACTCGGTCAAGTACGGATAATTATGGTTGTTCTCAAGAACTACTTAAAGCCATTTAACAAGGCCATTTGTCACCAAAAGAAGTGGAGAAAAGTTCTGATGCATTTCAAGCATGTTCATTTCATATAAGTTATGGGGCCGATTTAGTGTGAATGCCTTTTCTTTTATTCTTTTAAATGTTAAATGATAGTTTAGGCATCACAATCAACGCCTTGTGCAATTTTCTCTCCCTACGACCCTATGTCTGTTTTCAAAGCCTCAGACATAAGCAGTAATTAATATGATTATACATAGAAATCAAAATTTCTTCGTGTCTTGCTTATAGGCTAACGATAAATTTGTTGCTAAAGTTTGAGTTGCAAGTACGCATTATGTGATGAATTTCTCTTTACATTATACTTCCTCGGTCCTTAACAATGATCTAATATGGATGTCCCAAAATACTGTCACTTTTGATTAAAAAACATGTGTTTCATATAGTTTTTTTTTTTTTAAATAAAAATACTGGCATGTTATTGTTTTCTGAAATTATGTGTTAGCCAAGGGTACCCGTAAAACGATGGAAGTTAGTGCATTGTACTCCGTATTATAAGATTGACTTTTTACTTTTAACAAATTGATAGTTTGATACTAGAGCAAAAAGAAATGGCGGATTGAGGGACATCCTTCACTGCTCTAATGAAGTCCATTAGACTCACACTAGGGCCCTTAGGGCATCTTCAATGCTGAGGTGAATTGTGATTCCACCTCAACAAATTCGCTTGCCAAATGCACTTGGTTTCTTGAATGCAGAAAATAAAACACACGGTGCATCTTATGTGACATGGAGCAAGGTCTAACACAAGGTCTATCAATGGACCCTTGGTGACACCTTCTGACAAAATAATAAGGAAGTGGTGGGCCTATGTGTATGGAGAATCACTCGTTTCTTTTACTCCCTATTCTTCACTTTTTATCTTGCTTTTACATTTGTTGGCCTTGTCCTGCACCGGAGATGTATGCAATGGACCTTCTTTATTTTGTAATAATGGACCCACTTTATTAATAGACTTTGTCTATATTTTTACCATGTCATATGCAATAGACCAAGAGCATTTGAGATGCTCTTAGGACATCTCCAATGGAGAGGTGATTGCCAAACAAAATCCATCCACCTCACCAAATAGATGCTTTGTGAGCAAATGCATTCTTAAATGTAAAGAGAAATGAATTGAGTCCATCCTATGTGCCAATGCACAAGGTCCAACATGAGTACTACATTGAGACCCACGGTCTCACCTCCTCTCCTTGCTATGTTGATTTTTTAATAATGGTTTTTATTTGGCATAGCCTTTCCTTCCTTCTGCATTGGAGTTGGGTATTAATAGAACCTATTCATTAGTTGTACACCCTCTCCGTTAAATGTACACCTAAGCACCAATCCACCATATTGATTGGAGATGCTCTTATGGAGTCGGCAATAGATTATCCCAGTCTTCATCACCAAATCTAAATATTCTAGTGAGTCTCTATGCTTGGGGAGATTTGATCATGAATTATATAATATCAAGTTGAAATGCTTAAGTGAACCTATATTTCCATTGGACTACTACCTTCAATTCCATTTTCACTTTTGATTCTACGTCTATAATTTTTTGTTAGTTGCTATTTTTAATCGGGGCACAAGTACAGACTCTACAAAATGCTAGAAATAATTAAAACATATTTAATCTTGAATTTATACTCTTATTTACTATGAAAAATTTACCAATCCAACTACATGTTTATTTTTACCTTATTTTTAGTGTTATTTTGTAATTGAATAGTTATGTCAGTTTTTACCTTCCTTACCATCTTCTTCTTTCTTTTCTTCTTTTTAATCTTACTTGTTAAGGAGCTCAATGTATATCTTGCTCCCATAACACGGGAGTGATAAAAATCTTTTTGACCATTCACGTACTTCTACAATTCTATAACATAAAGGTAGAATCCCTTCCAATACAATTTTCCCTCTGGTGTATGCATTAAACTCATTGTTAACTTGTTAAGTTATAATATCATTCTCTATCTTACTAATATGATTCACTTTTTCTCACTCACTTTTTAGTCTCTTCACTTACCTATCACGCTTAGGTACCAACAATCACCTCTCTTTCATCACACTTGTATGCATTTTTTTCTTTTATTATTTTCTTTTGTATATTTTTCTTCTTTATATCTACTGTCAAACAAATCAATCTTTTGTTCAAGTTATAAAATCAATCCTATAGGCATAAACAAAGAATCTCCTCCAGTATCATCTTTCCTCTAATATATGCATGCATTAAATTCATTGATAAGTTACATTATCATTATCTATCATACTGATACACTTCCCTTTTTCTCACTATTTTTTTTTAATTCTCCTCCCTAACCTAGCACACCTAAGTAACAACAATGGTATCTCTTCCACGCTTATACATAATTTTTCTTTCATTATTGAATTTTGAATAATTTTCTTCCTTGATCTCTTATGTCAAGCAAATCAGAACCTTCTATTCATGTTATAAAATCAATAGCTCAAGATTATAATTTTCTGGAAATGTAACTGCAAAAGATATTAGCAGTGTAAATTTTGAGATTCACATTTGTTTTTATTTTACATATAATTTTCTGAAATATAATGTTACTTTAAAACTTCTCATATCCTTGAAAATCTAAAGATTAACACATTAGAAATTGTAATTCGTGTATGATGCATCTAAGTAATTATTCATTTTCATGTTAACTACATTGCTTTCTACAATTTTATATAGTAATATTTACCCCAATATGTCCTAATGTATAATCATTACTATACTTCTAACACCATACAATATGATGAAGAGAGTAAATCCCGTGTAGCGCATAGGTAATATGGCTAGTATGCCAGATTATCATTTGTATAATTACTTGTTTAAAATTAACGTTTAATGATGTTAGATCGTTGGTTGTTTGGTTGTCGTGGATAGAAGTACGTTTTTTGGTTTCTAGGGCCGATTATTTCTTCGAATCTCTCGCATGTCCAGGAAAGAATGTTGCTCTTTTTATGGTTGACTCTTTCACGTATGTTCAGAAAAGTGGTGGGGGAGAGGGGGGAGGGGGGCTTTTGGTTATGTGGGAGCTAGGTGGAGAGAAGTTTTGTGTTGTGATAAGATCTTTCGTATTTTGAATTATTATTAATAAAGGTTAAGTGTTCACCTTTCAAACAAAATTATTAATTTCAAAAAAAATTATTAAAAATTGAATTTAACTTTATTATTAGTTGACCAAAAATATTGACTTTGCAAAACAATTTGGGACTGAGGTAGTACATTTATTGGGAAAGTAATCCTAAACTATTAAATACACCACAAAGATAATTAGTATGAATTTGATCACAATAAAAATACTCTAACAAGTAGATATCTCTCAATGATATTGTGTTGATATTCCCTAGAGGCAGAGGAGAGGGTTGGAGAATTTTAGTCATAGGTAAACTTAAACACAAGTTCTGCCTATAATTAAACCAATTAAAAGTTTAGGAATATATTACCGCTAATAATAATATAAAGTTGCAATCATATGACCAAGTTTTTCTTCATATGACCAAGTATTATAATATTAATTATTAACTAAATACATTCTAACATTCTCCCACTTAGTTATGTGATCCTTGATGGATTGATGATAAATTGCGAATATTCATCAAAGCAAATCCACCAAGAAAAATCCAACTGAACTTAAAATTGATCGAATCATGACGGTTACACACTATTATTTATATTTATTACTCACATGTTTTCTTTCATTTATCACAAGACCATTATAATTCATCCTTATCATTTGAGAAATTTGAAAGTCTCATTTCTTATATTTGAGGAATACTTAAATCTTCTGTTATCTTTACAAATAATACTAGATAGTCACAACTAAATAGATAACAACTAAAACACAAACATAACCTTTTATTGATATCAATTGAGTGTCAAAATAATAATATAGCGAAATGAGGAAACACAAACATAACCTTTTATTGATATCAATTGATAGTATCATATCAAAACTTCATCAGTGCCAATATGCTCAATAGACACTATATTTATTAATTTCTTTGTGAAGAAGACTATCGTAGAATTATCACAATAAATTTTCAGCAGCCAATTTATATTATTTACAACCCTAAGTCCTGAAACAAAGTTCCACAACTACAAGCCATGAATAGTAACCTCAAAGCATTCCATAAATTTTACCTTCAAGTAATAGCTGTTTGTTTATTATTCTTACAAGATACTGCTCTTGCGGCTAATATAAACAGATAACCGGATGTTGACTTTCTATTATCAATACATCCAACAAAATTTGAATCTTAATATTCAATCACGTTAAGGTGATCAGATCTCCTGAATGTAAGCATGTGATCTTTGGTGCCTTGCAAGTACCATAAACCCTTCTTTGCAGCTTTTCAATTGTTCATTCCGGGATTACTTTGATATTGACCCAATATTCCAACCATAAAACTAATATTAGGACGGGTACAAGTCCAAATGTATCCCAAACATCCAACCACTAATGCACAAGGAATTCTTTCCAACCCCTTATGCTCCAATTCATTTTAAGGAAATTGTAATAAACTCAACTATCCCCATTCTGAATTGAACTCAGAGTTGGAAGCGGCCAAAAGCGGGAGGGATTAAGGTAAATGTGGATGCAACGGTTGATAGCTCCGGTGGAATAAGAGCATGGGGTTGGATTGCAAGGAATGATCAGGGAGAATTTGTGGAAGCAAGTGGCGCTTCATGCAAAGCAGAATGGTCCCCGGGCGGCGGGTTTATGCGAGGCCGTCATAGATGCTACTCCCTGTGTCCCTTAAAACTTTGCCAAGTTTGACATACACGAGAATAAATAAAGTAAAAACTGTGTGGTTGAGATTTGTGCAGAGGCGAGAGAATTGACTGGAATCACAAATTCTATACTTAAAAGGGAAAGTGACAAAGTTAGTGGGACATCCAAAAAAGGAAAGTTGGTAAAGTTTTAAGAGACGAAAGAAGTATTAAGGAAGGATGGGAAAAAGTTGAAATTGAATCTGATGCACAGGTGATTGTTCCAGGAGTCCAAAAAGGTGAAGGCATTGCATATTTGAATCTGATTCTTGATGATATTCGTTCTTTACTTCAAACAAAGAGTAGTTATGTGATCTCTTTTTATAAACGATCTGCGAATCGTGCGGCTCATGCATTAGCAAGAACACATATTACTATCTCAGATCATAGTAGTAGCTACAATTTTATCTCGGAATGCATTGTAAGTCAAGTGGCGAATGATTTATTAAATTAATAAAGATGTTTAGTTTCGGTTCAAAAAAAGTAAAAACTAAACTTTGAGGTTGTACAAGTTTAGTTATCAAATTCTAACTGATTTAATTATATTTTAGTATCACACACTTTTCCGACGATCCACTAATATTACATATACATAGCAACTAATTTATTACTCCCTCCGTCCCAATTTGATGGTCTCATTTCTTTTGGGCACACGTTTTAATAAAGTGGTTGAAAAGTTAAAAGTTGTGGTTGAGATTTGAGTATAATAAAGTGAAATGATATGGACCACATCTTTCTTTCCAAAAAGGGAAACAAGACCATCATTTTGGGACATCCCAAAAAGGAAATACAGGACCATCATTTTGGGACGGAGGTAGTATAAAATTAACAATTAATAATGTGCTAAATATCAGATCGGCTTTCATTCAAGTAATAGGACGTCTTTTTTTGAAAGGAAAGAGCTTATATTAGAATCAAAAGAGTCATTACATCAAACAAGATCCAAAACCAAATACTCCCTGTAGACTCGCAATACCAAAAGCCTATCGCCCCCCTCACGTCATGCCCAAACATAGAATAATCTACCCCACTAGGAGCAAGACTAATCGCTGAAACGGTGAGAGCAAAGAAGCTATTAGCGGCTGTGACAGCCTGATTGCCTCCATAAAAAAAACTACTCAAAAAACAACAACCTACCATCCCCTCACCCTTATTGAAAATAACAATACAAAGAAACAAACAAATGAGTTCTGAATAAAAAGAAAATTGCAACAAAAATAAACTTTCAGACGATGGATGATATAACCTTCCATCCCTTGTGCTTTCCCCAACTCATCTTCTATTTGCAAGGTAGGCGGGCATTGTAACCCGCCCCCTCCCTGTTTTTTGAAGTGCGCATCTCCACATCCATATCCTTTTGTGTTTTTCCTTGTTCTTCATGATCCACGCATCTGCGTTTCTGTTCCCCCTTGTCTCCTGTCTGAGTATGAGCCTTCGCTTGTTGTGGTCCTCCATCTGCATCCAAACTAGTCATCCCTAATCCATCTTCTTTTTCTTTTCATTTTCCAATTGGGACTAACCATTTGTTCCCTCCCCCCGATGCGTTGCCTTTCGAAGCTCTCAGTTCGGGTCCGAAACGAAATCCTCCACGTCTGTCCTTGCCATCAGGGTAGTGTGGGCAAAACCTTTCTGAATGACCTATAATTCCACATGCAAAACAAAAACTAGGCAATTTTTCATACCTAAATTTAACACAAAAACTTTCCCCTTCGTCTGATTGAAGGAACAATTTTCTCTTCAAAGGCCTGTTCAAGTCAATACTAACCCTCACTCGCATGAAGGGGTTCCATTCCATCGAGAAATTCTGTTCATCCACCTTGACAAATCTCCCAACAAAATTCCCAATTTTGATAGCATTTTCAATTGAAAAGAATCCCATTGGTACATCATGGACCTGTAACCAGAAGTCAGCCCTATTCAACGACATCTGCAAAGGCAGATCACCCTGCTTTAACCTAGCAAGCACGATTGGGTTCTGATCGAAAGTCCACGGTCCTTCCTCCAACACACGTATCATATCATTTTCATTGTAAAATTGAAACGGGTATCTTTGTGCACCTATCTCAATGATAGTAACACCTCTAGTAGGCTTCCACACATTGGCCATAGTGTCACGCAAAAAAAAGGGTGTGGCTTTAACACGTGGCTTTCTTACCGATGCACCGATCATCGAGCGAATTAAATTCACCGACCCCAAGCCCTGCAGACCCAAGCTGCAGTAATAGGACGTCTTATTCAAGTAAAAATAAATACTTTCATCCCAATTTATATTCCTACCTCCATCCCAATTTGTTTTGCAAAATCAACATTTTTTTGTCAACTAATGTCAAAGTTATATCCTCCCTATTACTATGTAATGATTAGTTCGAGTTTAATAATTAAAATTTAAATATTTAGAAACTACAATAAAATCTCTATAAAGTTGCAAAATTCAAATTAAAATTTAATTAAGAATTGATATCCTGATTAAGTGAATAAAATAAAATTGTTTAACGAAACAAAAAAATCAAATTTGCAATTCAATTTGGGATGGATGGAGTATTTCTCCAAAATCTAATTATACTTTTATACTTTAGGGGGGTGTATTGAATATGAATTGTTGTCTACTTTTTTTAATCAATGGACTTTTAAATCCATAGATTTTTTATGAATGAATTCTATTGACTTTTAAATCTAGATAATTTTATAGATTTTCCAAAAGACCATAGACTTATAAATCTGGACCGCCACTGCTGGGTCGTCAGAATTTTCACCTAGATCGCTACTACAGATTTGCCTGTCCGCCTCAGTCAACGGAGTTCGCCGTCGTCGTCATCAGTCTGATCCACCACTAGTAAAGTAAAATGACTTTGGTTATGCAAGGAAATTAGTGACTATTAATTATATTAACTAATTAAAATATGATCATGCTTTGAGAAAAATGCCATGTTTTAGTACTGGCGTGAGTTCTAGCAACGCAGAATTCTACAAGAATAAATGAAACATAAGCATCCAAATTTATATTTATTAAAAAGAAAACTCAAAGTTTCGAGAATGTTCAAATATCTAGGTCTCTTATGATCAATTGTTAAATCAGACAACTCAATGAGTAAAAACATTAATCGTTACACAAATGTTACACTCATTGCTGCATGTGGTACAAGCATAGGTGCAATCAAGCTTTTTTCTTAATAATTGTTTTCCTTTCATTTTTAGCTTGTTAAATTTTGTATACTTATTTACGGTTAAATGTTTATTAATTTGAAATTGAGGTAAGGATCAATTGAATACATCAACTTGTATGAGGTAGAGTAAAGAGTGCATTGTATTGCATTTAATCTTTTTAAGTGCACAAATTCGAGTTTTAGTGTTAATTGAGTACACTCGTTAGATTAACATGTTAATACGAGTGAGTTGGCTAACGGAAGCTAATAGGTCGACTTTTTGAAGGTCGACGCCAGCCCCCAGTCACTTGATCGACTTCTCCTTGGTCGACGTCAGTCCCCCGCGGGTCGACTTCTCCTTGGTCGATGCACCACTGCTAGCCGACGCCCCCGCAGGTCGACCTCCGAAGGTCAATTTTTCCTTTTTTATCGACTTCGTGAAGGTCGGTATCATAACATTGGTCCATTACCACTTCTTACTCGACATTCTGTTAGCCAACTCAGCTGTATTAACGTGTAAATCTAACAAATGTACTCAATTAACGCTAAAATACCGAATTTGTGTACTTAAACAGATCAAATGCAATATAGTGTATTCTTTACTCCATCTCGTACAAGTTGGTGTACTGAATTGACCTTTCCTCATTTGAAATTATATTTCTATGTGTTAGTGGTTTAACGATGAAACACAATAATAGTTAAAATATTTTATTCTTAATGGTTAATTGACAACATATCAGAATTGCATCGATATAATACTACCGATTCTTATATCAGTTATTATAAAACTTTCTAGAACCGAATCGATATGCAATTAACGGTTCTTCAAATGGTTCCTAATTTTCTTTCAAAAACTGAACCGATCACACCCCTACATTTTCTTCGTAAGACAACATATACACTTTTTTTAAGTTTGTCTTGTGTATAAGTATCAATGTATAATCAATCTCCTTGTTCAACTTTATTTATCGTAAAATGAAATAAATAAAGATTTTGTTCAAATCTTGCATATTGAGACTATCCCGACACCCACCTCCCGACCCGACCGGTACTAATTCAGGACTTATTGGCCGGGTTGTTATCACATGTAAATAATTAGTCAAATCTGTAACTAGATCTATGCGTACTTGTGACGATTCAAAGACGTACAATAGAAAAATTCACGGAAATCTTTGATGAAGAAAAAGAGACAATTGAAGAGAATTATTGAACTAAGAATTAGTTAAAAGTCCATGAGAATTCATAATTTTAGAAGTCAATAAGAATGAACAGAAGTTTGAATACGCCTAGATTTTTATATACTTTTAAAAGTCTACATTGTATACATCTAGACTTTTGTAAACTTTTAAAAGTTCACTTGCATATACCTAAAATTTTAAAATCCATATTTTTTAAAATTTTGACACTTATTCCTAATAAAATAACCCATAAACAAATCAGGAAATATATTTCAATACAAGCTTGAGCTACGAGTTACGTTAATGGAAAAGTTGTACGTAGAAAATTTTTGTATAAAAAGAAGGGCGCAAATGAAGTATTCAATTACCTTTCTGGAAATCTGGATCGAAGTTTCTAGTTTTTTCATGTTGATTGTGTACCATAGTTGATCACCGTATATCTATCGGTAGGAGAATTGGTTTTTACTATCTTGTATGTTTTGGCGGATTTTCCATTCCAAAATTTCATCGCATTCATAGCCCTAATCCTGTGCGGGAATAGAGCCTCTGAGTGTTGTATTCTGGTCTATAAATTGCTTGAACCCCTGTCCTTTAACCGCCATGGAACGAATTATCGGCGACAAGTTTAAGATAATGAGGAAAATTGGGAGTGGTTCTTTTGGTGAGCTTTATTTAGGTATGTCTTTCATTTGAATTTGATTTAGCTTACTAAATGTGCTTCCTCTTCTTCTCCCACTGCTCAGTGTTATCATTTTTCTTCCCGAATGTTTTCATTTCTTCTACGAAGTACTACGTATTTATGTTTTATTCTAGTTTTTGGATGTTATTGTTGCTTTTAATGGTTGTAGTGCCTGCTGGTTATCGTAGGTGTCAATTTACAAAATGGAGAAGAAGTTGCCATCAAGTTGGTGAGCCCATTTCTTCTTTTATATCTTATCATGAAAGCATTTGTGCTTTGATTGTGTGATTATGAAAGAAATAAAATGTGCCTGATGAGTTGTATAAATTAGAAATAATCATACTTTGTGTGATTTCTTAATCCTTGTTCATTTTGGTGTTTGAGGGCACTTTGAGCCAAGCATTTTACTGTTTGGAAAACTTCAAAATTTAAATATAGTATTCCTATTTTTCTTCGAATGATTCACTTGTGTCTTAATTAGGTAGAGCACTCCAATATTCGAACTTATACAGTTATACATTTGCAATGTTTGTAATTTTGATTTTTTATACATAGTATACATACTGCATTCTATGTTGTGTGCAGATTTTTTAGTTAGCCATTACTGATCTTGATTATTGGTTAATGCAAGATTATCACATAAGTTTTTTAAAATAGATAGTTTAGTTAGTTTGTTTCTTTAACATGATTTTTTCATTACTTTATTTTCCAGGAACCAGTCAGGACCAGACATCCACAGCTTCACTATGAATCAAAAATATATTCCCTTCTTCAGGGAGGAAGTATGCTCTCCCGCTATCCTTTTATTGTTTCTTTTGCTTGATTCACTATTTGCTTTTTTCCTTCCTTCTTGGTTAGCATAAGCACTGGACCTATAATATTACAAGTGTGATTCATATTAATAGTTTATACGTAGTATTTCACAAATAAAAAAAATATAATGCATTTCCTTTCAATGAAGCAAAATTGAAATGTTTGCTTAAATCATGTTAAAAACCAACACATACTCAATTGGTCTATTTTTTTGGGTGTTTTGGTGAAGCTGGTATTCCTAGTCTTAAATGGTTTGGAGTTGACAAGGATTACAATGTTATGGTCATTGATCTTCTTGGTCCAAGTTTGGAAGATCTCTTCAACTACTGCAATAGGAAGTTCTCTCTGAAAACTGTGTTGATGCTTGCAGATCAGCTGGTACACAGCATTGTCTATATACACACTGATTTCTGTTAAACAATTTTCTGTTGCCATTGTGTTTTAGTCTATATTTCATGATCAGATTAATAGAGTTGAATATATTCACAATAGAGGATTGCTACACCGAGACATAAAGCCAGACAACTTTTTAATGTGATTAGGTCGCAAAGCAAATCAGGTGCTTTCAGCTATTAGTTGTAAAGATTAGTGTGACTTTTAAATTTTGAGCATGTAAAATGGTTTTTTAGAGTGAAATCTAAACACTTGAGCAGGTTTATGCCATAGACTTTGGCCTGGCTAAAAAGTATAAGGATCTCCATACTGATAGACATATACCATACAGGTTTGGCATTCAATTCTTTTTTGCTAATGATACAAAATTACTCAATTTGAGCCTACACCTAGGCCTTCTTCTTTGTTTAGTTTTAATTAACTGGAAGATAGAAAAAGAAAGAAAAAACACCTTGTGTGAAAAAAGTGTGCTTGCAAGGCTTGAATGAGTGAAGATATATCAATCTTCGGGATATGATTTATATAGATTATTAGTTGTTATTGTTTGTTTCCTTGATTTTTAATATAGATCATTAGTCATTAAATGTTTTTTCCACTGTTCAACTCCCAGGGAAAACAAAAATCTGACTGGCACAGCTCGTTATGCTAGTATTAATACACATCTTGGAATTGGTGAGTTTACTGTTTACTTCCATGGCAAGAAATAAACTTGTGGATGAATGTGGAAATAGAACTACTTTGTCTGTTCTTATGCAGTTGCAACTGTGACTATAACGCTTGTCAAGACACAACTTTGAAAATAAAAAATTTTTAATCACCAATGAGTAAAAATTATAAAAATAAATATTTTTTGGAATAAAAAAAAATCATATTTTGTAAATTTACATTGAGATGAATTTAACCATTTTTTCATAATACAATTTTTTAATACATTTTTTCATAATACAATTCTTTTGGGATTAAGGCTTGAATATTGTTGTTGTTGTTGTACAATTTTTTAATACAACAACAACATCTAAGCCTTAGTTCCAAAAGATTTTGGGGTCAGCTAACATGAATCTATACATGAGATCGGAGTCAAAAGGAAAAGAAAGATAAAAAGACAAGGTATGATTAGAAAAAGATAAAAAAGATAAAACAAAATAGAGTTAAGATATACATAAAAATGATTAGGTAAAAAGGATAAAAAGAACACACACACACACAAAGATAAAACGATAAAAAACATAAGAAAGATAAAGAAGATAGATGAAAAAAGGTGATATAAAGAAGATAGAGGGAAAAAATGATATAACAAATATTATAATTTTTAATGCATTAATAAAAAATTGAAATCAGAGTAGAGTATGTGAATAGTGCAAAAATAGAAGTATACTAAAGAATGTAGGTACTAGGTAGTAAATCCTACCTTGTTTTGCTTTTATTATTGTTTTAATATTTTTATTTTTGTTGTTGTATTATTACAATTATTACTGTTCTTACTGGTGTTATTATGATTATAATTATTATCATTATATTTATTCCAGAACAGAGCAGAAGAGATGATTTGGAAGCTTTGGGTTATGTACTTATGTACTTCCTCAGAGGAAGGTCAGTTTAGACTTTAGAGTGTCTACTGAATTTTCTTCATTATTGAATTTTGTTTTCTCCAAACGTGCATTCGGATCTTATTAACATGAGTTAACAACTTTATGCCGGTTTTTTCTTGCTTCAGCCTTCCATGGCAGGGATTAAGAGCTGGTAATAAGAAGCAGAAGTATGACAAAATCATTGAAAAGAAACTCTCAACTTCTATAGAGGTACTTGTTATGCCAATAACATAATTGAAATAAATACACTTTCCTGAAGTCCTGAACTAGTCACTATTTCTGATTTCTGACTCACCTTATAATTTATTTTATTTTTTCAAATGCAATTTGGTCTGCCTGATTACTGCTCTGTTTGGTAGTCAGTTCTACCTTATTTGGCTTAAAATTCAGCACAAAAAAAAACTTGCTAAGTGGGTTTTTCATATCATATCGTACTTTATGAGCTACATTACTTGATTTTAGTTCATAACAATTGTGGAAACAGGGTCTATGCAAATCATACCCCTCTGAGTTTATTTCTTATTTCCATTATTGTCGATCATTACGCTTTGAAGACAAACCTGCATATTCATATCTCAAGCAGCTTTTCCGAGACTTATTTATCCACGAAGGTAATGGGGAAATTATGAAGTGTAGTCCATATCCAAAGCTTTTGTTTTTGAATCTTAACCCTCTTAATGCCGCAGGTTATCAATTTGACTATGTATTTGATTGGACAATTTTGAGATATCCTCAAATTGGCAACAGTTCAACAGGAAGAGTATGTGCTCATAATTCTTGTGTAGTTGTTGCTTAAAAATTCGTCTAGGCATGGTAGTTTTACTTTTCTTTTTTATTGATTTTGTCAGAACCCAAGTGGGCATGCAGGATTAGGAGCTTGGCCATCTGCAGGACTAAGAAGGACAACAGCAGCAGCAGGTGCTTGTCTTCAATCCAAACTCACCAAGAGCCTCTTTTATAGCCTATAAAGTGTTCATCAAAATAGTAAGCAGAATAAAATGGGTGTTACCAACACCTTATTCTCCAAGAAAAATCAGCAAGTTCAGTTGTTTTATCCAAATAATCTCCATAAAATGGGCTCTTATTAGTAAGCAGAAAGACTAGAGATTTCAAATTACATGGATAAAATGGATTTCACCGAATACTTACTTGTTATGCTTATCAACCGAAAAGCAGTTTTTTTTATATTGAAAGAATTGTTTCTTTCAAACATACCATGCTCATGTAATATGACATTTTTTTAAATCTTATGGTCAAGATGTGAGGGAGCAGTTTACTAGTGGCGTGGAAGAAAATTCTAGGAGAAATACGTACAGAGCCGGTCGGCATGGTGAACACTCAAGACATAGATCAGATGATATACCTTCATCTAAAGATGTGGTAAGCATTTCAAATAAAGCTGTGCACTCTTGTGTGACCCAAATTCCTCTTCCATCTTGTTCCGGTATGCTTTTACTTCGTTTCAAATCTCAAAGAAACCTTATATGATCCTTCGAAAAGGGATTATTGTGTACAATCAATACTTGGTCATCTAACTTCGTCCCTTAGATGACAGGAAAATAAGTTAGGAATAATGTTATCTGTGGGAAAAAAATCACGAGAAAACGTTGCATATAAATAAGTTGTGATATGTATAATATAAGGTAGAATTGGACTTTGCACCCCATTTTGAATTTTTTTTGACTTAACATCCATCGTATAACATTTTGTGAAGAAAAGTTTCTGAATAGGGTGCATAGTCAAAGAATTTTAAAGTGAAATGGGGTACAAAGTTAAAGTTTTTTTTTTAAATGGGGTGTAAAGTCCGATATCACCCAAAAAGTTGGGTGCAAAGTCAAATTCCCCGTAATATAAAGTTTAACCCACTTCTGAAGATAAAAAGAAAACTGATATTCTGATATCACTGACAATATTAAACTGATTCACGAAAATAATCTTCTTTTTTAGAAAATGGAAGCCATATTCTGAAGAAAAGGAGAGGGTCGAGGAAGACATTTTCTTTCAGAAACATGTTATCGACCCCCCATACACTGGAAAAGGCAAAAAGAAAACTCTCAACCAAACAGGGCCTTACTAAAGTAAATTGTTAATTAGTTGAATGAGTAGACAAGTAATTGGCACTATAAACCTTCATGCCAGTGCCACTGAGGCACTGACCCTGACTAGTTTAAATTACGGTAAAGACAAAGATTGATCAAGGCTATAAAGACAAAGATTGATCAAGGCCAAATAGCCGAAACAATGCTTTTAACATAGAAAACTTCATGCTGTCGAAGTACCCTTTGGAATTTTGACACCACATACAACTATACAAGGTATGGAAGTGAAGGAGAAGAGGCAGGGAAGAGAGGGAGAGGAAGACCCAAACAGACGTGGGTTAGGGGAGTTCGAAGTGATATGCTTCTTCTGGGGTTGGATGAGGGCATGACTTTGGAGAGAACTAAGTGGAGGGCGGGTATTCACGTGAAGGAGTGATCTTGATAATCTTTTTCCCTCATCTTTTTTTCCTAGTTTTTTTTTATCCTTATATATATATATGCATTATTTGCAGCCTTTTTTTTTATCATTTCTATATATATTCATCTTTTTTATATTATCTTTTCATAATAGCTTATCTTTTTATCTTTATTCCTTCTTTTCCTTTTGGTTATGATATCATGTATCGATTCATGTTAGTCGACCCCAATATCTTTTGGGACTAAGGCTTGGATGTTGTTGTTGTTGTTGTTGATACAACTATACAAGGTAGGCTTTCTAACCTTATTGCCTAGGTCTTTGAAGTCGACACTCATTCTTTACCAGCAATTATATGTTGTTAGGCTTGTTTGCATATAAAACATTGTATCAAGTGATATCTCATGCATTGATATGTCCTCAATGGGTTGGTTGTGTCAACTACTACCTGGCAGCAAGCTGATGATTCAGAGAAGGCCCAAACATCAAGAAACGGTAGCTCTTCAGAAAGAGGAGTAGCCAGTTCAACCCTCAAACCAACCAGCTCTTCCGTTGAAGCCACTTATGGTGGTGGTGGTGGGTCCAGCAGAGAAGTCGTGTCGAGCATGGGTCGTTCATCATCAGCTTTCTCCCATTCCAGGAGACCTTCTGATGACCCTGTTAGGAGCTTTGAATTCCTGTCAGTAAGGAAGTGAAAGATGCACTTCTAGAGAGTAATTTTTTCTTTAAATTGGTCACTTTTAGGTCCTGTTTAAAGAAAATCATATCCATACAGAACGTATAAATTCAAATATGTTATTTACAAGAAGGGGCCTTCTTGTCCAGCATATCAATATATGATTATCTCAGTAATGGCCAATGGCCTGGGTGTATAAGCTGTATTGAAAAAAAATGCAGAGGTGGTTGTAAAGAGTGTAGATTTTTTATACAGTATTACATTATTAACTGATAGAAGCATAACCCTTTGCCCAATAATAAAAGAATCATGTCAAATAAGTTACACTATTTGTAGTTAAAAGAGAGTATGTTGCAACAACTGGTCATCTATTGTTATTATATACGTAGTGTTGTTATTATATAGTACTCCGTATTATACTACTGTCCCACTAATATTGTAATATAAAACATGGTGTATTTATTGAGAAATTGATTTTTTGTGGTTCATATTAAATCGGTAAAGTAGAAATGGATGAAAAACTAAAGATGAGGTAAAGATAATGAGGCAGAAGAAGTAATTCTTATGCTAGTGATGTACCCCCGATTTTTATAAGTGGCATCTCAATGCACACAATCCAGTGGAAATTTTATTCAGGTCTATTTTGATACCTGAAATTGAATAATTTTAACTCACTTTTGTAAGATAAACTTACCTTATTAGGTTGTCCAAAAATATGAATACTTTCTTAAATTTAACTTTACAAAACTTTTTACAAAAATCATTTTCTCTTTATCTATATCATTTCACAATTTAAGCTTTGTGGACCTATCGTACTATTTCTCCCCCTTTAAGGTTATAATTATAAAGACATCAGCACATCAATATACCTTTTATGTCCTTAACTCACACTAAACCCACATGTATTTTAACGAAGGTAGTAGAAATTAGATGATGTTTTCTGATTTGATTGCCTGCCAATTTTGGCTCGATTTAGGTATTTGTTTGGCCCGATATTTGGTAACTTCAGATGATATAAAATAGGAAAGTGAACGTATTAGAGAATTTAGAGGCAATATCATTATCAAACTAATATCCAACGCAAAACCAGAATATTGGACAAAATTGAACTATACCACCAGACGGTCCAGACTCCAGACCATCTGTCATTTTTTAATCTGGGCCAAATCAACATTTGTTTTGGACAAAATTGAACTATACCGCCAGAGTCCAGACCATTCATTAAAGTGATAATAGGAATGCATCATTTCAGGGTAGCATATATCTTCTTTGTTTAGCTTTTAAAACACCATCAAACCTGTTTGCACAATTGCACTCCAAAATAGGCTCAACGTTATTCTGTTACGTTTCAAAAATTCCATAACAGAAATGGATTGTTACATAATTATTCCGTATGACTTGTTTCTAATTTTCTATTATAAATTTATTTATTGGCCAAGAATTTGCAGACGAGTCATGACCAAAACTCCGTGTAAACATAATACAGAGTATTATTCCTGCTTAGATTCCTAAGCAATTGAGTTTTTATTATTCAACCTAGAAATACAACATTACCCACCGATTTGGTGAATTAAAATATACGGAGTACATACATATAAGTTCCACCTAAAATAAACTCCAAACCATTCACCTGCTGGAATGCCGTATTTGTTAATAGTATACAAAATTGTTTTACCAAAATTGTGGTACATCAAACCCTTTGTATGATCTCACAATCCACAGCATTGTCGAAAACAAAATTTCATGAAAGATGGAGACAAATTTAGTCTTTTTGGTACGAGAGGATTATGAACTAAAAAAACAGCAATCAATAACTAAAATGACTCTTAGACTGTGCTTTCCTTCTTAAGCTTTGAGAGCTCCTGTCTCACAATTCCAGCCTTCTGCAAATATTCAGAAGTACCAAAAATTTGTGAATAATGTTACCTTTTCTATTGGATTACAAAACGTTGAGATTCATGGAACATATTACAATAGACATACAGATTTTCTATATTTAATATGAAAAGATAAATGGACTAGGCTAGAAAACAATTTACAGACCTTGATTTTTGCCAGCATGATCTTAAACCTGTCAAAATCATTCAGAGCTGCTCTCCTCTTCTGCACAATCAACTTCCTTCCCCACGAGCTCTTCTCCCATTTATTCTTGACATCTTGGAGCATATTGAAACAAAAGATTAAATATAATATACATTTGATTTTGGATTTATGGGAAAAACAAGTTACAGTGAATATTCTCACCAGCAGCTTCAAAGGCGGCAATCAAAGTCTTCTTTTTTGGGACCCTTTTTATGTCAATTTTTATATCTGTAAGTGAAAGCCTCTTGAAGTTCATCTGGCTTCTAACCATGTCAGGCGCGTCAATGAGGGCCTATTAATGAGGAAAACAGATGCATATCAGCTTCAACTCCAGAGCATATGTTTCAAAATGATTGCAATGAGGGAAATTAGAAAGAATCCATAATAACAAGTTTTTTTATCCATAATAACAAGTTAAAATAATTTATCTTTTGTTAACAAAATAGTTTATAACACAGTATAAATCCTACTCTGTGAAGTATCAGATGAGAAAAACAAAGGCCTCAGATAATATACAAATCTCTGTCATATTAGAGTGATCAGACAATGTAGGCAAATGTATTTTTCCCATCATAGGCCATAAATGATTACTTTTACATTTCAGCTACGCTTGAATAAATGCAGTACATACAGTTACTTCAAAATCAATCTTGTGTTAACAAATTACTACCTCCGTCTCGCTATGAATGTCCCATTTTACCTTATCGATCCGTCCCACCAAGATTGTCTCTTACCAAATTTTATTCTTACTAAATCATTCTTACTTTATTCTTACTTTATCAATTCAATATCAACCCCATAAAACACTTTTTATTAATTTGTGTGGCACTTCCTCTTATCCCATTGTTAGCTGGACGGAGGGAGTAGTTTATAACAGAATATAAATCCTACTCTTAAATAAAGTATTAAATGAGAAAAACAAAGGCCTCAGATCATATACAAATCTCTGTCATATAAGAATGGTCAGACAATGTAGGCAAATGTATTTTTTCCCATCATAGGCCATTAATGAAATACTTTTGCATTTCAGCTAAACTTGAATAAAAGCAGTACGTACAGTTACTTCAAAATCAAGTTTGGGGGGCATGAAGAGAGACTTATCAAACGGAATAAAACCAGAATAACAAGTTATAAAAAGTTATCTTTTGTTAACAAATTAGTTTATAACACAATATAACCCCTACTCTTTAATGAAGTATCATATGAATTAAACAAAAGCCTCAGATCATATACAAATATCTTTCATATTAGAGTGATCAGACAATGTAGGCAAATGTATTTTTCCCATCATAGGCCATAAAGGAATACTTTTACATTTCAGCTAAAGTTGAATAAAAGCATACAGTTATTTCAAAATTAATTTTGGGCACGAAGGAAGACTAATCTAAACGAATAAAACTAGATTACCCTGTTCTGATCAATAACGTCTACGATGACGACGAGCTTTCCATAGTCCTTGCCGTAGTTGAGGATAGCGACCCTCCCGATCTCCACATACCTCTTGAAAGGCTGCAACACACATTAATATGAAAATCAATTACGTCTTTCTCGTAGTTCCACATCGAACACTCGCATAGAAAACAACAATAGGAGACTCACCATTTTCGTCTGTTTAATGGAGCAGACGAGCTCGACCAAGATTCGGAAGGGACGATATCGCTAGGGTTTTATTGATCTGTTGGAGTTATAAGGACTAAACCTGGGCTGTGCAAGCACGCCTTATTCGTGGTTTGGGCCCAATTTACGAATGCAGCTTATTACAAACTCGTATGTTTTGATCCATTGCCGTTCCCCCCCCCCCCCAAAATTGAATACGAAACTGTTCTATTTCACTCACTTTTGGCTGTACGAAAATTTTCACAGAAGAAAATAATTTCACTTCTTTGAATTTTAGACTTGGTTTTCAACAATAAGCTAAGCAAGATTTTCTTTTAAAAAATAATCCATATATAATCGACAATCGTTTAACAAAATTAGAAACTCACAGCTTGATATCGTTCACAGCAAGTCAAAATTATGTGTGAAATTGTTTCTCGCAAAGTTCCACAGATCTCAATTGCCACACGGTATTCCATCCAAAACATCGATCTCAGTCTTCCAAATAAACAAATTTGCAATACAAACAACGATCAAATTCAGTTTTTATTGCAATCTACTCTGATACGGATGTTTGATTATTAGAATTTCTATACTTCGTTTAGTGTTTCCAATAGGCTTGAATTTATGAAAGTAAGTATTGTTGTCGTTTGTTGATTAATTTATGATGTGTGATGTGTTCTTATTGATCATTATTGATCATTAATAAATCAATAATGTTTTTGTTTCTCGAGATGAAACTACTTTGTACATTTATTCATACTTAAATAGAATGATCTGTGTTCTGAATAACAGGGAACATGAGAATAAATTTAAATTCCAGAAAAAAGCTTTGTAACATCATCACCGGAAACACTATTTTCAACGACCGGATCTTGTATAATAGGATTTTAGTGAGAAGAAAAAAATGTGAAATTGTCTGCTTGGAATATTGAATATCAGAAAATGAATAATATGGTCAAGCTTCCATTCTAAAACAGTAAGCTTTCCTTGAACAAATTCCTTGAAATCGAAGAGTACCGGTGGGCGTAGCTCAACTGGTAGCAAGGGAGTGCCACAAGGGTTAGGTCCCGGGTTCGAATCCCGGCAACTGCGATGAGGGGTTACTATGCTAAAATTGCATAGGGCCTCTGCAAGATTCGGGGACAGAGCCCCACTCTATCTCTCAGATTGAGATTATAATCCAATTTACATCCTCCCAATGTACCGTCCGGTCGGGGTGTGGTGCCCTCAGGGATGGGGTGTCATCCTTTTTTCTTGAAATCAACAAGTTTAGTGTCTAGGCGTTTTTTCAAATTTCAATAGTTCAGAGCCTGAGAGAGCATCACCAACAGAAACACTTGCTCCCTCCCCAGCATTTGAAGCAGAAGGCATAGTTTGAGGCCTTAGCACATCAACATAAATCAAAGCATCCAATTCACGAGATTCCTTTTCAAGGTCAGTAAGAACAACATTGTGCAACTTTAACTGGATAATAAAAACATAAACAGAATATAATGTAAATGAAATAAAATATTAATAAAAAAACATAAAGAAAACGAGAATAAAATTTTAAAAATATCTGGGAAGCGGAGAAACAAAGAAGCTTCATATTCAACTTCATATAAGTGAGTGAAACAGAAGAGTGCCAAGATAGTATACGGAGAATTAAAGAACCAGATCTTGATTAAAAACCTCATCACATTAATTGCAACACTCAAAAAACCAAACCTGAAGAGCTAAAGAAATTCTTAAAATACAGTAAAGAAATAATCACTTTTTGTAGTATCCGCTCTCACGAATCTCCCCTTCAGATTTGTTAAAGTGACATAAAAAGGGTCCATCCCCCTTGGATAGGAATTTGATACACAAGCAAGATAAATTTCACTAATAAACTTTTCCTTAGACAAAGTAAAGAAGAACAAACCAAGAACATAAAGAATGACAATCTTAACAGTATCTTCATCACAGTTAGCCTTTTGGCCAATAAACAACTTTCAATTGCTTCACGACTAATTTTAGAACAATTGTTGAAATATGTTTTCATGAGGTCATTAGTGTATGTGAAGTAAGAGTAGAAGCATCAACCTCACACTACAAGAAAAACTAATTTGTGCCATTAAAAAAATGTTGTTGCTCAAATATATGTGCAATTAAAATGTACTCGTCACAAGGTTGTTGCACAATCACCGAAGCCCATGGTAGTATGGGCAACATGCTCAATTACTGTAGCCTAATACATTTTTTTGCAACGCCTAATTCCGTCACTAATCAAAATCTTTTTGCAACAAGGATATAATTTGTTGCCCATGCAACTTTTTTGTGCAATGATTATATGATTTCATCACCCACTGCCATATTTGTAAACATCGTTTTTATTTTGTGCAACACTTCTTTGATTGCCTTCAATGCTTTTCTATAATGAAATTTTCTTTTGCCATCCAAATCCTCATCACACCCCTAATATCATTCCAAATGAAAAATCAATATATATAATAAATGTTCTTCATTTGATAATAAAATAGTAATAATCACATTAGAGTACTTTAATTTAAATATAACAAAATAATAATCACATTCAAATGTAATAACATGTTAATAGTCAATGATTTATGACAGTTCATCCACCCGCTTCAAGTACACCAAACTGATAAAACAGGTTCAAGTCCTTTGTATTCAATCCTCTTAGACTAGTATCTCAGCAAACATCTTCAACTCCCTGTATAATAGATGAATAATATAAATAACTAATCAGTATAGCCTGTAAGCACAAATGTCACTAGACGCGATTCAAATGTTGGCATCATGAGATGAAAAATATAATAATTTAAGACTTATGAGGGCATGAAAAACTGAAGTCTCAATTGCTAACTTTTTTTATAAAAAAATACTAAATGTAGTAGCAGCATCAAACAACTTCAATAGGGTAGTACATAAAAGAAGATAATATATCGATACATAATACTGTATACACACACCAACACACACGCACATATCTCTCCCTTAAAGCTCCTGGTGATATCTCCTCCTACACAAGGATATAAAGAAAGACACCAGAAGCAATAACAATGATGTCTGGTAAGGTTAGTATATAGAAGTCACTTAATTAATATAGCAAGATTTTAAAATGCATGTACTTTTATTTTGGTGAAGGTTAATGTATACAAGTTCCTTAGTTAATATAGCAAGTTAAGGATAACTACCTACTCATTTTTAATAACTCTTAACAACTCATTTTTAGTTGTTTGTAGCCGGTAACCTATGCGGTTTTAAAGTATCTGCAAAATGAGAAATTCGAGTGTGAAAACTTAATCTTATTTTTTGTATAAATCTAACGACTCAAGTTTCTGATCTGCATTGAATATCGGAGAGCATACCTACTTTATCCAGGTAAGCATTTTTCATGTATTGCTGCCCTGGAACATAAGATTAGAGCTTATTATGGACAACTCTATATTGTTGCTCAAATTTCCTTATAGCACGTACATAAGATCATAATCCAAAATCTTCATTGATCTTCCTCCCCACACACAGAAATTGTATAAATAAATGTTTAACAACAATTATTTTGGTTCCAATCCTATCTATATCTCTAGAGGGGCATCTGTAAAGGAGAAAACCCATCAATTTTTTTAGGTAGAAACAACTTAACAAGTATGAAAGTGCTTGTAGCACAATTAGTAAGAGCGAATAAAAAGCAACATCTCTAAAGGAGAAAGAATGTCCATTTCTCCTTCCATCATTTTGCTTACATTTCCTTTATTAAAAATCTTTCTATTTCTAGTATTTAAGCTGACATTCTGGACTTTGTAATAGCAGTCCTATACAAATTGACTATATACCTTCAAGAAGATAGTATTCTCTCACTAACTCATCTAAGAATAGTAAACCATTCTACTCCACCTTGTACACCCCTAGCTAATACAAGGTCTGCTAACTATATTGTTTAACAACTTATCTGAAGCATGTAAAATGTGTCACGCCCCGTACCTAGTCGGACACGTCAACAACCCGCCGTACAGTACGAATAGTCAACCGCAGTTCAACTCATCCATACTATACAAGGCGTCATGAATATCATTCACACGTAGTACATCCATAAACAAACATAATGTAAAACATGCATTTAAAACAGCGGAAGCATTTAATAAAAGTGTCTTAGCCACACTTTGGCAACCATGGGCATGCAAGCCCCAAATAGTTATTCAAAATAATATCCACGAGCACTTATTATAATTGTTTTGAAATCAGAAAACAGAAGAAGCACGAACCACGTCTTCTCCTCTGAATATCCCGAGCAACGGGCACCGGTAGCAACCTTCAAGTCCTACCTGAAACTGTGAGGTGGCCTCCCCCGTGAAGGGGAGGTCAGTACTTGGAAATATTTGACAAGTACAATAGCAACTATACTAAGTATAATCAACGTTTTAATTTCCCCGACCCTCAACTTAGGGTACTATTATATTATAGGCCATAACCCTCGGTTACCCCTTTTTCTTTTAAGTGTACTTACTTTTTATAAAGTCAAGTAGTCGGCCCGTAGGCCCATATGCGTTTAGAATTCATCGTTTCCATCCCCCGTGACCGCAAGTCACGATAACCCCGTGGGGTCCCGTCGAGCCCCAATTGTATAGCATGGGCTCGGCCCAACTACATCTCTATACAATCCTCTATCTCGATATATCATATCACAATTTGTATGGCAAGGGCTCGGCCCAACTACGTTTCCATACCAACCATAACTTCGTGGCAAGGGCTCGGCCCAACTACATTTCCACGGAGGTCACATATACATGGCAAGGGCTCGGCCCAACTACGTTTCCATGCTAATCATATTACATGGCATGGGCTCGGCCCAACTACATCTCCATGTCATCCTAGAGTCCAACTCTAATTATTTTCATAATCAAATTCTCAAGCAAGTTCTATGCCTAGAATCAATTCCCGGAGGTGTCCTTTAGGCCTACCCCTATCACACCTTAGTGTTCATACAATTCATCCTTAAGTATCTCTTGAGACTACTTAAGGCATATCTATTCACAATCCTACCTCTTAGGATTTGTTTCATCATTTATTTATATTAATTTCCCGATTAGTATTTTAATACTAATTGGATAACCTTAGAACATACCAAGTTCCTATTTCCCAATTTGCATTTCATTTCCATTGATTTCTCAACCCAAGTATAGTTTGATCTCAATATCAAAGATATCACTTTAATCCATTCATGAATTTCATACATGTAGTAAAGTATATTTTATCACGAT